GAAAGGAAGTGACCACTCCATTTTTTAATTTGTAACAGAATAGCCAGAATAAACTGGCATGCATTCAAGATTTAAGGATAACATTCCACAGGGTTGAGAAATTTAAGGTGGCTGTCATCGCCTAAAATTCTACAGAAGTCATTGGGGAGAGAGGGATTCTTGAGAATGAAATTCAGGGCGGGGTGGAAAAAAGAAGCTGTCTAGAGAGACTAATGTGGATGCCTAGGGAACTCAGATTTTTTTTTTTAAAGAACACGTACAAAAGAAGGAATTAAGGCAGAAATAGCAGATGGTAAATGTGAAAGTATGGCATGATCCTATAAAAACAGCATCAGGACTGGTAAAGCTTATGATGATCACAGATCTAAAAAGTATCAATGGTAACCCTATTTCACAGATAAGGAAACTGAGAGTCAGAGAGATTTATGTGACTTACCCATGGTAAAACAGCTAAAAAAAATGGTTTAGGCTGGACAGTAGACTCAAGGAAAATAAAGTTTTACTGTTATTTTTAGCTATTTGGGAAAAAATAGGATAGTCAAATAAATGATAGGGCTGTTCCTTCGAAAGATGACAACAGATGAAAAAGAGAAAGCAAAGATGCTCTTCAACTATTATTTTCCTTGCATTTCTTTCTACCAAGAATGCTCTTTGGGAGAAATTCTATTTAAGGTTACTGTAGACATTATAAAATATTTTGGAGTCTACCTGCCAAAACAAATCCAGGAACTATACAACACAATTATAAAACACTTTTCACACAATTAAAGTCAGGTCTAAATAATTAGAAAACATCAATTGCTCATGGATAGGCTGAACTAATATAATAAAAATGACAATTCTATCTAAGTTAATTTACTTATTCAGTGCCACATTAATCAAACTACCAAAAAATTATTTTATAGAGCTAGAAAAAATAATAACAGATTTATTTGGAAGAACAAAAGGTCCAGAATATCAAGGGAACTAATGAAAAGAAATGCTAGGGAAGATGGCCTAGCTGTTCCAGATCTTAAATCGTATTATAAAGCAGCAATCATCAAAACTACTTGATACTGGCTAAGAAACACAGTGGTGGATCAGTGGAATAAGTTAGGTATGCAACACACAGTAGTATACTAATCTACTGTTTGATAAACCCGAAGACTCCATTTTCTGGGAGAACAACTCACTATATGACAAAAACTTCTGGGAAAACTGGAAAACAGTATGGCAGAAACTAGGCATAGACCAAAATCTTATACCATATACCAAAATAAAGTCCAAATGGGTACACGATTTAGATATAAAGGCTGATACTATATGCAAACTAGTTTACCTGTCAGATTTATGGAGAACAGAAGAATTTATGGCCAAACAAGATAGAGAACATTATGAAATGCAAAATGGATAATTTTGACTACATTAAATTGAAAAGTTTTTACCAAAGCCAATGCAACCATGATTATGAGGGAAGCAGAAAACTGGGAAAGAATTTTTACAACCAGCCTCTCTGATAAGGGCCTCATTTCTAAAATACATAGAGAATTAAGTCAAATTTATAAGAATACAAGTCATTCCTCAATTGATAAATGGTCAAAGGATATGAACAGGCAGTTTTCAGAAGAAGAAATTAAAGCTATCTAGTCACATGAAAAAATGCTCTAAATCACTATTGATTAGAGAAATGCAAATCAAAACAACTCTGAGGTACCACATCACACCTATCAGATTGGCTAACATGATAAAACAGGAAAATGATAAATGTTGAAGACGTGGGAAAATTGGAACACTAATGCATTGTTAGTGGAGTTGTGAAATGATCCAACCATTTTGGAGAGCAATTTGGAACTATGCCCAAAGGGCTATGAAAATGTGCATACCCTTTGATCTAGCAATAGCACTTCTAGGGCTGTATCCCAAAGACATCATACAAATGCACCCACATGTACAAAAATATTTGTAGCAGCTCTTTTTATGGTGGCCAATAATTGGAAATTGAGGGGATGCCCATCAACTGGGGAATGGCTAAACAAGTTGTGGTATATGAATGTAATGGAATACTATTGTGCTATAAGAAATGATGAACAAGCTGACTTCAGAAAAACCTGGAAAGATTTGTATGGACTGATGCTGAGTGAATTGAGCAGAACCAGGAGAATGTTGTACACAGTAACAGCCACATTGTGTGATGACTAACTTTGATAAACTTAGCTCTTCTCAGCAATGCAAGGATCTAAGACATCTCTAAAAATTTTATGGTGGAAAATGCTATCCACATCCAAAGAAAGAACTATGGAGTTTGAATGCAGATCAAAGCATACTATTTGCTCTTTTTTTTTCTTCTGTTTTATTTCTTCTTTCTTGTGGTTCCTCCTATTGGTTCTAATTCTTCTTCACAACATGACTAAAATGAAAATATGTTTAGTAGGAATGTATATGTAGAGCTTACATTAGATTGTATGCTGTCTTGGGGAAAGAGGTGGGGAGGGAGGGGAAGAAAATTTAAAACTCAAAAGGTTATGGAAGTGATTTTTGAAAACTAAAAATAAATAATTAATTTTAAAATTAAAAAAAAAGAAAAGGAATGCTCTTTGGTATGCAAAGTGCAGAATAGAAATGACTAAGAGGAAATTAGTCTACAAGTAAGAGAACAAGAAGAGAGCACTTACCTCACCTTCAAGAGTTGAAGTCAAAAGGCTAATATGTTACCTTTTCTAGTTAGGAAAGAATGAGTGATACTGTGTTTCCTACACACAAAGATGTATGCTAAGCACCGAGAATACAAATAAAAAAGAGATATATGCTTGAGAAATGACTAATAGTCTGATGTAACTGCAATGAGGAGTGTAATGGGGAGTGCTTAAAGGGAAGTATTATGAAGCAAAAGGCAGGCAAGAGTAAGATAATAGGGTGCTTTAAATGTCAGGCTGGGGACTTTATTCTAGAATACAAAATTGCTTATTAATCTGAGAATACAATCTTATAATGAATCCTAGTACCTGAAGAACGGTAAGAATGCTTTTGAGCAGAAAAACATTACCTATAGATTCAACTAATCATCATAAATTCTACCCCCAGACTTTATGTATGCTGTCTCACTGGGATACACAGAATTTAATATATCTACAAAAATATTCTTATTTGGTTGAGGTCAAGATACTATTCAATTTCTAGGTATCAGTTCTTTTTTAAAAAAAGATATTTAATAACTATTCAGATAATTTTTACATCTTTAAGAGAGCTACTGTCTCGTATATAAATATAGCCTAAACAACTTTTAAGACAGAAATAATTAACTTATAAGACAAGCATAATGGGACACTCAAAAGAACACTGAATTTGGAGTAAGGAGAATTGGGTTCTAACCTTAAATCTACTCCCTAAAATCTATGTGATTTTGGGCAAGTCACTTCAGTCAATTAGTAAACTTTTTTTTTTGGCTAGGCAAGTGACTTTCCCTGGGTCACACAGGTGATGAATGTTATGTATCTGAGGCTGGATTTGAACTCAGGTCCTCCTGACTCCCGGGCCACTGCTCTATCCACTGTGCCACCTAGCTGCCCCAGTAAACATTTATTAAGTGTCTATTAAGTATTAGCTGCTGTGTTACATGATGAGGCTACAAAGAAAGACAAAAGACAGTCCCTTCTCTCAAGAAGCTCACAATCTAATGGAGGACACAACAGTAAACAACCATGAACAAACAAGCTATATAAAGGATAAACTGCAGAAAATCAATAGCATGAAGGCACTGAATTAAGGAGGATCAGGAAAAGCTTCCTGCAGTAGTGGGTGAGATTTTAGCTAGTACTTGAAGGAAGCCAGAGAAGCCAGCAGGCAGAGATGAAGAGGGGAAAAAATTCAGGAATGAGGAACAGCCAGTGCAAATGCCCAGTGTCAGGCTATGGAATGTACTGGGTGAGGAACAGCCAGGACTCCAGTGGCACTGGCTCTCAGTGTCCTTATCCCTAAAAGGAGGGGGGTGCACTAGCTGATGCATTCCAACCCTGAACTTTGTGATCTAAAGGTACTGTAACAGCAACTACTATATGCAGTCTGAGGTGCAAATTAGGACATAGACAGATTAAATCAAGAGTTGGCAAACTACTGCCCACAGCAGAAATCTGCCAGCTGCCTGCTTTTAAATAACGTTATTTAAAAAACGTTATTTAAAAAGTGTAAAAACGATTCTTAGCTCATAGGCATAAACATGCGAACTCAGCCCTCAGGTGTAACTGGGTAACCCTTGGGTTAAATGCTTATCATTGGTGGCTCCCATATGCACTGAGTGTAAAGTAATAAAACACTTTCTTCATAACAACCCTATGAGGTGGACAAAACTAATATTATCATCCCTACTTTACAGATGAGGAAGCTGATTCTCAAAGAGCTTAGGTGATTTGCCTAAGATCACAGTGTAGTGCAGTACTGAAGGACATGCTCCAAGAAGACTTCTCAGACAAATCAGTTACATAATAGTTCCATTACTACAAAATTTCCCCTACCAAAAAAAATGAATTTACATTTTTATAAGCTTCCCCCTATAAGAGGTGCTACATGGTACAGTGGATAGAGTGTTGGGCTTAAAGTCAGGAAAATTCATCTTCATGAATTCAAATCTGATCTCTGACACTTATTAGCTGTATGACAATGAGCAAGTCACTTAACCCTGTTTGCCTTAGTTTCTTCATCTATAAAATGAGCTGGAGAAGGAAATGGCAAACCACTCCACTATCTTTGCCAAGAAAACTCCTAAAAAGGAGTCAATGACTGAACAACAACGATTCCTTCTGTAAAACTACACACTAGGAAAAATAAAAATAGAAGCTCTGTAGTTGGTTGAAGTAAGAGTCAGAATGATAATTTGATAGATTCTGGTTGTAGATTATTTCAAATTTTATATACGTTGAAAAATATTACCTTTAATAACAGTAAATAATTAAAATGAAATTATATCACAAGAGTAAAATACTTAAGTAAATAAGATTTCTTGGCTATTCTTCGCTTTGGCCACATACCTGTAGTGTAGCTTGCACACCAGCTTTAATATTCTTATTATCATCTTCCAACACACAGCCTCTGCTAACAGCACTGGTAAAGGAGTAAGTTCGTCCCCAGCTTGAAGATCGTTTGTGACCAGAATGTTCAGTTGTGGCCTTTTAAAAACAATAACTAGTTAATACAGAAGGAAGATTTATGAATTCAAGTATTTATCTCTAGCTGTAGGAAATATTATTCAAAAGTTAAAATGACAAACATGTACTTATTTTTATTCATATCTATTTATCAGTCATGTGGTCAGTTATTCAAAAATCAAGATTGTTAATAGAGATTGTTATTGGTGCAGCTATATACATCTTTAGTTCAGAAATATGTCAAAGCTTTTAATAAATTACTCACTGTGAAAATATGTTCTTTCAGAAATTACCTCAAGCTATTTTTTTAAACAATTTTGTTAGGAATCTAAATAAAACCTAGCAATTTCTGTTGTTTTTCAATATCCTGCTGTATATAAATGTACCCTCTTCATGACTTCTGGCTGGTATAATAAAAAAAAATCAAAGACATGGGGCATATAATTTCAACTATATTAACTGCATGATGACAATGCTTATGTGTATTTTAGAAAGATTTTCAGGATCTGATACTAGAAATTATTATTTTGTCATTATCTTGCAAATCTTCTCAGATGCTTAACAACTGATCTGGATACCTTAATGAGACCATTCTAGCAAAACCTTTTCTTTGAAGGCTAAAGGCTATGACCCCAAATTCTTTTTACATAAATATAAAGGACAAAAATGTAATGTTCACATGTAAAGCATAATGTAAGAAAATATTTTATTAAACAACCAGCTTCAAAGATAGTTAATCAGAAAAGGTAGTTAGTCATAATTTGTTAATTAAAAAGAAATCCTTGCCTTAGAGTTTCTTCTGTGAAAGCTCAAGCCCCTTTATGAAATAGCTCACAGTCCAACCATTCACAGGTGCCAAAAGCAATGCAGTTTAAAGGAGATAAGACACTGAAAGAAACGTGTCTATTTATTTTCTATCAAAAATGTATTTCTAGCTAATGTAGCAAATAAAATAGCACCTGTTTATTATCTGTCTCTGTCACTGACAATCCCAAATTTGCATCATCATCTTGAGCAATATCTTTTTTATCAGGTTCCTCCATGAACAAAGGTTTGTCCTGTAGTATCCATTTTCTATATACTTTGACCACTTTTCTTGTTACGGATATGTCACAGGAAGGCAACAAAAATGCCTGAAATTATAAAAGAAAATTATATTTTAAACATATGTCCATAAATATGCACAAGTCACTGACAATCAAAACCATGTAGTTCAACACTAATTTCACATTTTCTCTGGGGGTGTGTGTGTGTGTGTGTGTGTGTGTGTGTGTGCGCGCGTGTGCACGTGTGCGTGCATGTAAGCATATGTGTGCTTAGGTAGACCTGTTGTTCTTGTTCAGTTGTGTCCAACTCTTTGTGACCCCATTTGGAGTTTTCTTGGCAAAGACAGTGGAATGGTTTGCCATTTCTTTCCCCAGCTCATTTGAGAGATGAGGAAATTGAGGCAAACACGGTTAAGTGACTTGCCCGGGGTCACACAGCTAATAAGTGCCTGAGGCCAGATTTGAATTCAGGAAGAGGAGTCTTTCTGGGCCTGGCACTTTATCCATTTCACTACCAATTGCCCCTACACAGATACACAGATACACACACACACACACACATTGAGTTTTATAACCATTTATTAAGAGTCACATAATCTTGAAAATACTTCATATTACACTGTATTCACCTACTTATATACATGTCATATCCTGCCAGTGCAATATAAGCTGCTTGAAGGTAGATAACCTTCCTTTTCTGTTGTTTTTCAATGCCCAGAGCTTTGCACAGTGCCTTGCACAGAGTATTTAATAAAATTTGAATGAACTGAATTTTCAGTAAAACACAGTACATAAAAAATGGAGTAAAAAGAAGCCCCCTCTCTCTCTTTTAGGAAATGGCAGAATGTAGATAGTGGTGAGCTTCTTTCAAATCTTCCATTGAAAAAGCATGCCCAGAACAGCCATCTCATTATTTCCCAACAGGCTGCACTCTGGAGGACTTCATCAATGCTCTAGGGAATGTCATTATCCTACAAAGTTACATCAACCTGAAACTCACACCTCTTCAGAATCTCCTGCCATTGGGGCTCTTCCGTGCCTCTAACTGGAGAGCGTAGAAAGTAAAGAGGAGAGCTCCTCCTCCCCACTCCTTTTTAGCTTCTTTTTATGTATTGTCTCCCTCATTAGATTGTGAGTTCCCCAAGGACAGTGACTGTCTTTTTCCTTTCTTTGTATCTGAAACTGTCACCAATCTAGTCCAGGCCCTCATCACTTCACCTTGGATTATTGCAATAGCCTGCTGGTTATCCTCCGTGTTTCAAGTCTCTTCCCATTCTAGTCCCATCAGCTGTTAATTTGATCTTTCTATAGCAAAGGTCTGATCATGTCACCCTTCTATCCAATAATCTCCAATGGCTCCCTATTACCTCCAAAATCAAATATTAAATCCTCTGGCATTTAAAATCCTTTCTAACCTCTCTTCCTCCTAGTTTTCTACTTTTCTTATACTTTACTCTCACCCACACACTCTGCTAACCAGTGACACTGGCTTCCTTGCCATTCCTTATATGGACCCAACAACTTTCAACTCCAGGCATGTCCCCCATATGTGAAATAATTTCATTCTTCATCTTTGTCTCCTGATATACTACCTGGCTTCTTTCAAATCCCAAATAAAATCCTACCTTCTACAAGAAGCCTCTTCCAATCACTATTAGTGCTAGTGCTTTCCTTCTTTCGATTATCTCCAATTTATCCTGTATATATCTTGTCTGCACATCGCTGTTTGCATCTTGTGTCCCCCATTAGACTGGGAGCCCCTTGAGAGCAGAGACTGTCTTTTGCCCTTCTTTGTATTCCCAGAACTTAGCACGGTTCCTGTCACATAGGTCACGCTTAATAAATGTTTGCTCACTGAGTGAAGAGTGCTATTATATGGAAGCAAGACAACTCTAAAAAGAGAAGGTTGGAATAAATGGCTTTATAGCTCTAAATTTATGATCGTATGATTTCATAATCCTGATACAGAATATAACAGTCTCCAAAGAACTGAAAATGAATATCACATAGAGGGCAATAAAAGGGCATATGGTAGATAGAAGCAGGTTGCATTATGTAACCAATGAGGAACTTCAAAGAAGAAAAGAAGTAAAATACATCACCAGAAAAATTATAACACTGAGAGAAGATGGACTGGTCATGTGGTAAGGGGGAAGGCTGACAGGTGGACAGCAACAATGCTTTACTGGTGTCCTTACAATGTTAGCAGAAACCAAGGAAATTCTGCACAATATTTGACTAAAATTATGGAACAAGAGTCACACAGAATGAGCAGGACAGATGGACCGCACTGATATGGATGGAGGGAGCATCCAAACTGATGAGATCACAGATCCATTTGAGTAAAGTTGAGATTCACTTTCCACTTGAAAGAGAAAATACAAATTATAAGAATCTACTTCAGAGCTCTTGCTATATCATTGGCCAAATCCTCAAAGCAAATAAAACTGAACATTAAAGAAATCTGTTCAGTTGTTTCAGTCGTGTCTGACTCTTTGTGACCCCATTTGGGGATTTCTTGACAAAGATACTGGAGTGGTTTGACCATTTCCTTCTCCAGGTCATCTGACAGATGAGGAAACTGAGGCAAACAGGTTTAAATGACTTGCCCAGGATCAAACAGATAATAAGTATCTGAGGTCAGATTTGAACTCACAAAGATGAACTTTTCTTACTCTAAGCCCAGCACTCTATCCACTGCACCACCCATCTGCCCTTTAAAGAAATACATTGGCTATTTAAACAAGATAACTAATGAAAAAAACTATAGCAGCCATATTTATATGATACTCAAGGTTTATGGTAAGGATATATATTCTCTCTGATGAAAATCTTCTGGCACTTCTGGTAATTAAATATATTTGGATGGGATCTAGCAAGACTCCAGTATACAAATTCATCAATCATTGGAAACTATACTATGAAAGTGGTTTTTTGGAACAACTTCTTTTTAATGGATCAGAACAGTTATTCTCTTTTTATATTAGGAAATTTTTAGAAATTCCCAATCTGGTTTCCATTTATCTTCTATTTACAAATATTTAAAGCCCACTTGAATTGTGGCGAGAACAAAAAATTAATATAGATTAAGTGTTGGGTACCAGCAAGACTGAAGTCAAACAAATGATCTTGGGATTTGGCTAAAAATAATCATTTATTATACTATCCAGTTCAAAATAAGTATTTAAAAACAAAAATCCCTTAAATGAAGAGTGAAATAATATGAAAGCTCGAAGCACCCTGTGGCAAAAAAAAATTAGGAGAACAACAAAGTACATGATGTTTTGTTGTTGCTGTTGTTGTCTTAAGTTATGCTTGGAATCAGAGAGGGAAACAAGGAGGAGAATGTAAATGGAGGTCATCAGAGGTGAAAGGGTCTACTAAACTCCTACTTTGTTTCTTTTCCTTTAGCAAGGTAAATGATCTTCAAACTTAAACTGTAGATTAAAACTTCCTGAAAGAAACCCAAAATAAGTAAAGACATAGAGAAATCTAATTAGTCAAAACAGGTCAAGTTCTCTGATCCACGTGAGTTATACATGTTTGAGAGTATTGAAAAATATATACCCTTGGGATTGTTTAAAATCAATAATTATAACAATCTGTGGAACATGGTCCTCCACAATCCCTCTACCCCAATAACTCATCATAGCATAGAGATAATTCTGAACTTTGAGAGGCTCTGCCAATGATTATAACAAAGCTGGAAAGATTGAGTATAGGTTTCATGACAGACTGTATGGTCTATATGAGAACCTATCTATCTACCTACAGGGCTGCATTAATAGAAGTTTCAACACTAGATGATGAGGTTTTTTGGCCACACTGACCCATAAAAAAGATTAAAATACAAAACAGCCCTTAGTCCTGAGTAGGCTCTTCCATTTCCATGCTGATGGCAGCAAAGTGTCACAAAAAGAGACAAAGAAGACTAAGAATTGCACTGTTCTTAGACATTCACAAACATTTACCTGTTTGGTATTGTTAACGTGCAAGCTTTGTTCAACACACTACTAGTGGAAATGACCATGTCCAAATTCACATTCTTACTATAAATTAAAACAAAACAACAACAACAACAACAACAAAAATGGCTAGATGGAAGCATGGCCTCATAAGTTCTATTCAAAAAAAGCAAACAAAAGACAAAGTTGGTTGTACGGTGTGCTCAAAGGCAAGAAGAAATACAATTTCATCTCACCTAGAGGTACCCATGCTGTACCTTAGTAAACTGACCACAGCAAATATAACAGCAGCTTATCTGCCAATCGCTATGTTGGAGGTTGAAGAAGTAGGAAAATTCTGAGACACATTAACTAGATTTTTTGATATAAATCAACATACATCTTAATACTTGGTGACATAAATGAGAAGGTGGTCACAGAAGAATACAGTAAAGACTGCAGGGACAGATGAGGAAATTAAATGATGAAAGATGAAGAAATGAAAAACAACAGAGGCACACAGACTACTTAAAAACCTGAAGTCTTTCTTCATGAACATTTTTTTCTAAGACTGTCGGAAAGCACTGAATGTGTGGGAGATAGAGTAACACACATAAAAAAAATGAAACTGATTATATCTCAACAGTGAGGAAACAAGCATTCCTTGCTGTGAGAATACTATTTGAATCTGTCTAGGTAGCTAGACCTTTAATTAGTCAGTCAATTAAAATGTATTGTGAAAAACCTGGAAAGACTTACATGAATTGATGCAAAGTGAACGGAACCAGAACGTTATACACAATGACAGCAATACTGTTCGATGAAGAACTGCGAATGACTTAGCTATTCTCAGCAATACAATGATACAAGAAAATCCAAAAGGACTAATGATGAAGCACACTATCCACCATGAAGCATGCTATTTTTCACTTTCTTTCATTCTTTTTCTTTTGAGTCTTCTTGTACACAATGACTAATATGGAAATGTTTTAAATGACTGCACATGCTCCCATCTCAGGGAGCAGGAAGAGGAGGGAGGAAAGGAGGCATTGAATTTGGAACTCAAAACTTTTTTAAAAAATGTTTAAAAATTGTTTTAACATGTAATTGAGAGAAAAATAAAATATATATATTTTTTAAATGTGTTAAGTGCTAGTCAATAAAAATGTATTCATAGACAAAATACAGTCCTTGCCTCTGTGGAGCTGGAGTTAAGAGGGGCCAGGGAAAGCTCCCTATAGAAGATGGAATTTTAGTTGGGACTTGAAGGAAGTCAAGAAGGTCAGTAGATGAAGATGAGAAGGGAAAGCATTCCAGACATGGCAGACAGCCAGAGAAAATACCCAGAGCCAACAGAGGAAGCGTCTTGTTTATGGTACAGAGGCCTCTGTCACCGGATTGAAGAGTATGTGGCAGGGAGCAAGGTGCAAGAGGACAAGAAAGGTAGAAGGAGGTCAGGTTATGAAAGGTTTTGAATACCAAAGAACATTTTGCATCTTCCTAGAGTTAGGGAGCCTAGGAATATATTTAAGAGATGCTGCAAAGGTGAAATTGGCAGGATTTGACAACAGATTGAATATGAAAAGTGACAAATAGTGAGGAGTCAAGGATGAGGCCTAGACTGAGAGGTCAATCCTTTCCAAGGTCTTGCTGGCTTTTACCTCCATAGTCTATCTGGCATCCTTCCCATCCCTTTAGTTCCCTATGAAGTCACCCTGGTACAAGGCCACATCTTTTCTTACCTATACTACTCCAAAATTGACTTTCTTTCTTTAATCTATTCCCTTCTCCAGTACATCTTTCATTACACTGTCCAAAAAATCTTTATGTATCACTAACCACATGACTCCTCTACTCCAAAACCTTCAATGATTCCTTACCAAATTTCTCCATGCACATTGCCTGGGCCTCTCCTGTGCATGCATCACCTTCTTATTTACATTATAATTATTTGTAGACATTTATTTCCCCCCATTAGAACTTTAAGCCCCTTGGGAAGAAGTCTATGTCATATCTATCTTTGCACTGTCAATATCTAGCAGACATCCTTTAGATGTCACGCTTAATAAGTATGTGCTAAGGAAAACTTGGGGCAAACTCTGCAAGGGCTACTCTCTGGTGTTACATGTGGCAAGGCAAGACAAGTGCAAGCTCTGGCAGGGCTGATAACGTCTGTGGATAGACATCGAATATAGGGCATGTGTGTGTGTGTGTGTGTTCGCATGCACACGAACAAGTGTGTGACCCAAAGGCAAACCCTGCTAATTTCATTCAGGCTCATCACCAAAAGTTAGCAACCACTTGATGAATTCTTTGGCCAGAACAATTCATGAAAGCCTTTTAATAATGATAATGATGATGGTAACATGGCAGTAGTAGTTCATATTTATATATGACTTTACAATCTATTAACTGGTTTTCCCAGAGCAAACCTTTGAGGAACACTGTGTAAATATTATTTCCTCCATTTAACAGATGAGAGAACTTACGCTCAAGATTAAGTGCTTTCCCTGTGATTACAAATCTTCTTAGTGTTAGAGGCAGAACCAAAACCCAAGTTTTCTGATTCCAAGGCCAGCACTCTTTCATTAAAACATAATGTGTCTCTTCTACTATGACACTTAGACATTTTAGTTATGACATAATCTGTATCAGTATAAGGAGTCTTCATACCAATAAAACAGTGGATCTTTTAAAATATTAAAGGAAGTTAAGGGACAAAAAAGAAGATATCATTACCTCAATATTATGGCATTTAGTCAAGGCACAAAAATCTGGAAGACCGTCACCACACACACACACACACACACACACACACACACACATATTTGTACACACACAGTGAGTGTAACAGTTTTAATAACAAGGCATTTCAAAAATAAAATATCAAGCAATAAAAACTATATAGCAAGAAATTAGAAAGATCACTATTTCATCACCTTAGTGTTTTTAGAATCATCACTTAATGCAGAAATGAAATTATTAAGAACCCTTCTAAACACAGAGAATATATATATGTATTCTACTAACCTGACGAAATACTTCATTGATAAAGTTGACATAACCTCGTGTAGATAAGAGAATTCGCTGAACCATTTCATATACAGTCCGATGCTCTTCTTCAATGCTACAAAGACTGGAATTACTGAGTCTTCGATCAGACAAAGTACTGCTATTAGAATGATTTTTGTCCTGTTCAGATGGCCCACTAACTTCCAACTCAGAAGTTTTCTCTTGTACCATTCCACCAACATTCTAGAAAAGAATAGTTGTAAATTGCTGGAAAAGCTTACAAAACATAAAAATACATTTTTTTTTAAAACTAAGATATTTGTTTTTTAAAGGAATTTAGATTACTATCACCTTTCAGTTTGGGGTTCCAGGGAAATCACCAAAATTGTAATTCCAAAATCACTTTCAAGCCAAGCAGTCTCTATAGCTTGTACTTACTTATCAAACATCTAATTATAAGCTATCCCTTCCCCTACTCCAATTATAGTTATCTCTCAGGGAAATCATTAGCTAATTAAGGAGTTTAATCTATGGCTATAAAATTATAAATACAAAAACGCAGGTTGAAAAGATGTTTAATCAACTGGAGTTATTATAAAAATTAGAGAGTGAACAGCCTCCAAGAAAACAATGACTTGAAAACCTTATGTTTTGTCCATAACCCAATAATAAATCATTTGATCCATAGGAATGGGAGACAATAAAATCAAAAAGATCTTTCAGGGTGGGGGTGGGGTGCTATTAATTTGGAGTCCAAATTCGGTAGTTCCATTGTTAAAGATAAGGAAAAGTTTTCAATATGTATAAATTGACACATCTTTGTTCATGGGCTCATTGTCGTCCTGTTTTCATCTTTATATTCTGGGATGAGATGGCTTAGTTAGGTCGCTTTGCCAAGTTTTCTGTATACTTATTTTTACCTCCACTGCTTCTCACTGTTTTCTAAAATGATACTGTCTATAATCTTACAACATCCTTTTTTGTAAGAGTTTACGAAAGAGTTTATTTTCTTAACCAGTGTTGCCCTTTGTTACCATCTCTCTACTTAGCAAGGAAATCAAATGCTTCTGCCCTGAGCAAATTTCTAGGCCTCTTTTAGTCCGTATGAAGGGAAAGAGGAAACTAATGTGTTGTAAATAAAGGACCAAAAAAGGAAGTATGTATCCTTGGAACCCACAGCTGCTTGCCAAGGAAGTAAGATCCTCTGGTTAAAAAGACAGTTTATGGCAAAGTAAATTTAAATAATAGATAGTGGAAATGACCATACCAACTGGCTATTTCCACTCTGTTTTGACAACATGGAAATTCCTTGGCTCACACTGGGAAGGTGAAGTACAACACTACAAATGATTATTATGTACCTCCTTAGTATCATGTGAGTTAAGATGAACTACCCAGAACAAATGTGAAAAACAATCCAAGATAGAATTTTTGTACATAAACTATTTTTTGATTTGATATCTGTTCCTTACATCTCACTCAAGCATATATTTCAAGAATATGTTTCTAATAAAATACATTTCAAAAGTTGTATTATTTTCTGAATACTGGCAGAGGAATGTCAGGAGACAGAAAATACCAGCAGTCTTTAGTTGGGACAATTTTGTAGCCTAGCAAACATTCTGGAACCAAGGAAGAAACAGATAACATTTGAAAATGTAAAATTTCCTTAAGAGAGGGACTGATCTTTTAAAATACACAGTCAGTCGTGCATAACAGCACAACTTTGTAATAATTGTTTCTGGTTCTCACACTGGTCAGCCCACCTCCCAAAAAAATTCAATCCATTTCTTTTGGCCATTTATGTTACTTGGGTAAAAAAAAAAGAAGTGAGGACAAATGATTAGTAAAATACCTGGATGATTTTAGGCAATACTTCTCCTCCATTTTTAGTGTTCTGAGTTGTAGTTAGGTATTTCTTTTCCAGAAAGAATGTTACAATCCACTTAATAAAAGCAACGCGAGCTGCCATATATGGAATTTTTGTGCTGTAAATGTTTTCATTGTTTCGAGTTGCGGTAACATACACTGGTTTTGGTCTTGAATGGGGGATGTCTGGTAATGTAAAAGAGTACACCATCTAGTTAAGTAAATCACAACTACAGGATAAAATAAATATTTGCATCTGATACATCTATCTAAATTAGAAAGTTGTTATACTGATCTGGTGTAGAGATATTTTTATTCCGACACCTTCAAATCCCATTTTTTAAAGTAGTACTTTTTGGTAGCACTGTCATTGTCTCCATATTAGATTCTGATTAAGAAATAATTTTGAATCTGAATTATCTATTTGTTTTTAGCCTATATTATTTTACATCTAAAGACTATATTTGTTCTACCAATATAAAATGGTATAGTTAACATGGCATCTGAGGCCAATACACAGTAAGTTTAGTTACAGTGTCCTTCTTTAAGCCTTTTTTAAGATTTAAAATGTAAATACTTAACAAAATACATTAACCAAATTTATTCATTTTTAGCTTGCTAACTTTTTCCTGGCAGCAGAATCTATTAAAATGGAAGGCATTTCATCTAATCACTGGATGATAGTTTTGAAAGGTTTTGTTTTATATTTAATCTAACAAACCTTCTAGAATATCAGCCAAATATATATTTTTCAACCCTTTTCTCCTCTATAGTAGATCTGAATATGGAAATAGCTTTGAGATAATTCCTCACATATGCAGTTATCTACCTACCATCATAATTTTTCTGAATATGATTATAATCATACATGGATACAGAATCTGTCATTTCATAAAAAGCAAAGCTTTTAGCAAATACATCTTTACAAAAAAAAAAACCTGACAGTATAAAAATGCAATAATAGGTAAGTAAACTCTCAGCTACCTGTCTCCAATCTCTCCCTCTCTCTCTCATACACATAGACACTCTCTCTCTCTCTCTCTCTCTCTCTCTCTCTCTCTCTCTCTCTCTCTCTCTCTCTCTCTCTCTCCTCCTCCTCCTCCTCCTCCTCCCACCTGCCAAACCTACTGCTTTTAGTGTAGGCAGGATTATAGTACATTCATGCTCTCTTTAACAAGACAGGCAGTCCTGGATTTTATTACAGGCAACTCATCCACTTTTTAACCATAAATTTTAATCCTTGGTTGATTTCCCTAAATCACAATATTCTATCATCTGCTATGGGATGCTCAGGAAATGAAAACTAGTTTTAATATTCTCTAAAGGAAGTAAAATTATAGCCCAAAGTAGTGTATTCCAAACCAAATATAAATTATTTTTGGATTACTTGAGCTCCCTTTTGAGAGTATGATATAATTTAAATCTTAGAAGAATAAAAATTGCAATTTCTTAGAAAATTCTTAAAGGTAGGTTATTTAACCTTCTAATATTTGAATAGTTATATTTTTTAGTTAAAAAGATTTTAATGATGATATTGAAGGAAAGTATTCAAAATTACTTACCCAGGACAGGCTTGTAGAGGTTGGTTAATTTTGTAAATGATGGAAACAAATGAGGAAGATAATACTTTCGAAACAAAGTAAAGAGAAATTTAAACCCAGTGTCTTGGTTCTCCTTATTCTTCCATTCCAAGCTTGCAGCCTTTGAATATTATATTTAAAAAATAACATACATAATATACTTTTTTCAAATCAATATATATTGAACTAAAAGATTTTCAAAAATTATAAATACCATCATATTAAAGGGACAAGTTGAGAACTAAAACCAATTCAATTGATGGAATCATATTTTAACAAAGCCCAAGAGAACTCTTTAAAAACAAGTATTTTAGAACTTTTCTTAAAAGCTGCCATTTTCTAATATAAGGAAATCACAAATAGCAACATAACCATATAAAAATATTATAATTTCATGTTACTTAAATATCCTAACGTATTTTTCCCTATATGTCTATAATCATCTTTTTTTTTAATCTTTAAAATCTTTAGTGGGAAAAAATAAATTAAATACAAATACTTGTATCAAAACTAAGATATTTATAAGCAAATAGCATATAGTAATTATGGTCTGGTCCATTCCCCATTCACTGTATTTTGCCTCCTACTTACACGACCTTATTATAATGGTCATACCTTTCTCTAATGCGCATCCTCCTCACTTTGGTCTCATAAAAGTTTCAGCTTCCTTCAAAACATAGCTCAGGTGTAATTTCTTCCAGGAATTAGCAATATTTTATAAACACTGTATTTACTTAATGATATATATGTCTAATCTCCCCAGTTAAATGTAAGCAATTTGAGAACAGGGACTGTTCTATTCTTCAAATGTAGGTACTTCTAATAAATGTTATTGCTATTTATTGGAATTAACTCCTTTCAATATTTATGTCAATTTTGCCATGAAACACATACTCATTACAATGAGCAAAAGCTTTAGAAACTCATTTCTAAATGAGTTTCCTCAATTTTTTTCTAAATAGTTTAAAATTTTCTAAACAAGTTTTCTAACTATGGAAATTCCACAGGTTGAGAGAACCTCTCTCCTTCACTTTAGTCCCCATTGAGGTTATGTATTACAATTTTCATTTTATTAGTGGCGTTAACATTTAACCCTACAGAACCAAGCACAACGCCTCGAAAACAAAACATACCCAAACAATACTTGATAATCATCAGCAAAAGATAAAGGATCAGACTGAAAAGATTTGCAACAGATTTTCAAGAGCCAACATATTTTTTTAGGAAGTGAGTAGGATAGGACCCATGTTAGGGAGAAACTAGATCAACCCCCTCATTTTACAAATAAGTAAACAGAAATCTGGAAAAGTTAACTTGCCCAAGGGCCACAGAACTAGCTTTTGGAAGAAAGGGAACTAGAATTGAGGCCTGACTGAATAAATTCTTCATTCTACAGTCCCTTTATTCCTACTTTACGCCACTAAGTAAAATAAAAATTTAAAGAGTTTAAATAAGAACAAGACTATAAGAGGTGAACTTGTACAACTTCTTTTCAAAAATAGTTTCAAGTAAATCACTGTGACAAAAATTTTGAAGCATAAAACATGACATAAGCAAATTTTTACCTACATACTTGAATAGTCTGATGTTTCCATAGACCTTTAAGATTTATAAAATATTTACATATGATATTTTACAATAACCCTGTGAATTAGGTACTACAGTACAGATATTTTTTTCTCCATTTTGCAGAAGAGGAAACTGAAGCTTCACAGTGCTAATAAGTGTCAGAGGCAGTATCTGAACCCAGATCTTGACTCCAAGTCCAGCCCTGAATGTACTAAGCCAACCAGCCTTTTAAAAGGAGTTCTTGATCTTTTTAAAGTGTGGCAAAGGTCACAAGCTATTGATGAGAATAGTAAGTGATTATTCTTCTGAACACAGCTCTATTTCTAATAATTATAAATCTTAAATAGCAAGGATATTCTGCCAATAGGTTTATGATGTACGTGACTTTGTGATAGACCAAAACATATGCTCAAGTACTCTGCCTCACCAGTATTTTAAAGTTTAGTGGAGCCGTGAAAAAATACAATCCAGCACAATCCAATAAGGCAAAAAAACCAAATAAACCACAGAAATAACTTTTTAGGCATCAATGCTATAATGAAAATATAAATTATGGAACAGAGCACTCAATAAAGTAAAATACTTCCCAATAACACAAATAAAAATGTTCGTGTTAAAGAATGCTTTAAAATGTTTTACTTTAATTAGGGGTTAACTTTTTTTTTGTCATGAACCAATCACTCTGGCAGCAGAGGGAAACCTACACACTCATCTCAGAATATTATTTTTAAATGAATATAAAATGTAAGATTACAAAAGAAACTAATTATATTGAAATATAGTTGTCACAATATTTGAAACAAACAAGATCACAAGTCCCAGATTAAAAATTCCTGCCTTAGGCTAAGGTTTAAAACCTATCGAGGCCCCCATCAAGTGGTTTTCTGAACCACAGCTGATAGAACAGAAACTCCTAGACAGCAAAGATGGTTTCACTTTAGAACCTTCTCTTTCTCTTGGCCTAGCATAATGCCTTGCTTATAATAAGTTATCTAAGTACTGGACAAATTTAGTAGAATATTTATTTTCAAACTACAATTCTTAGCAACATCAAGTAGTCTTTCTATTTTGCAAGTATAGGTTCTTAACTGTTACTGGGTTTTGTGGGAAGAAAAGGGTTATTTCTGTTGTTTTAGTTTTTATGAAAAGCTAAAGAAGTTATTCCAAGATGATAATTCAATCTTTATCCAACACTGGACTGAATTGTTCCCCCTACTCCTTCAAAAACAAAAACAAAAATAAAACACCAAACCCCACATGGAGAGGAACAGCACAGGATTGTGAACAGAGGGCTTGATGTGGATTTGGGAAGACGTAGGTTCAAACCAAATCTCAGGGATTTACTTGCTGTGTGACCCTAGTCACTCAATCTTTCTGTGCTTCAATTTCCTTATCTATGAAATACTAGGGCTGGACTGGATGCCTCTAAAATCCCTTCTCACTCTTATTATACAATCCTATGATGAAAAGGAGAAGGCATATATTGTAGGTTAAATTTACAACCCATGAAAGCTTATTGAAATGTCAGTAGGCGTGGCTCAGAGACAGCTGACAGAGCAGATTGAATTCTGTACTTACAGTAAAAAAAAAAACTAGGTTCAAACCCTTTCTTTTAGGATTACTAGCTACGTAACCATGTGTAAGTCAATTAAAACTCTCTGAGCTTCAGCTCCTTCATATCTATATTACAGTGATAATGCCTCACATGGTTGTGAGGCTCAAATAAAAATGGATATAAAGTCCTTTGCAAAATTTAAAGTGCTGGGGCAGCTAGGTGGATAGAGGTCCAGCCTTGAAGTCAAGAGGACCTGAGTTCAAATCCGGCCTCAGACACTTGACACTTACTAGCTGTGTGACCCTACGCCAAGTCAGTTAACCCCAATTGCTTCACCAAAAAAAAAAAATTTTTAAGTGATACATAAATATTGGTTATTATTCCATTGGGTTTTTTTAAATTCAAGAATTACAAGTGTGTAAGAGAACATAAGACTTTATTAATGACATGAAAAGAAAGAAATTAATAGTTACAACCTTAACAACCTAAGGTTTTGTATTTTTATTTTAGAATCTAATTGTGTTCTACTTAAAGGTGTTTTCTAAAAACTATGTGCATATAAACTTGGATTTCATAAGTTTAACGATGGTTTGGACAAGAGCACTTCTTGTGGTGCTGGGTACGTGTGCTTTGGCTCTATGAAGAAGGACACTGGCCCCCTCAGCATATGCCCAAATATAAAGGAAGTGACCCAATCAAATCCCCATTAAGTAAAAAAGAATTTAAGAAAGTAGATACATAGGAACTAAAGCATTCCAAAGTTTGTGATGACTAATAAATGACAGCTCAACACATGGTTTTAAGAAGTACAAGTAACCAACTTTCAAAGACATAAAGCTAATATTGAAAAGGAAGAATATGGAGTCAGGCAAGCACAGAAGAAATATTTTTTTCCTGACTGAGGAAGATGATTACCCATCATCCTCACATTTTGAAATCTAAGATATGAATAAACATAATTGCTCTTTTGTTTTTTGTCAAGAAGCTCTGAAGAAAAAGAAAACTAAATCTTGTAATGTCTACTGACATCAAGTATTTAAAGTGGCCTCACACTAAACCATATATACATTTGGAAGGTTCTAATATAAAGATATTAGTTTCTAACCAAAGAATGATTTAGTTTCTAACTCAACGTCTTTCTGACTCATCCCTTAACTCATCATCAGAAACTAACATTCTAGTTAAGGTTGGGGACAAAATATGGGTTAAGTAAAGAGTGATTAACTTCAGTTAATTATTACTGGAAAAAGTAATGTTGCTCAAGTTATCAACATCTGATTTATAAATGTCCTGTATTCTATTAACACCAAACTTCCTCTCCTTCACCATCTTCTGACAATCCACTTTCACCAATCTCATTTCAGTTAGTCCTATTTCAATTCTCTTTCTAGCTGTACAGAACCTTTTAATAGCCTCTTTCTTTCCCTTTCTTTCTTATTTAATTACCTGGCTAAAAATTTTTTTTAATTTTCTTCTTTCCATTCTACTTTCTGAGAAAAAAAATGCTATAACTGATAAACATTAAGATTAGGAAAGTAGAATAGTATATTAATAAAACAAGCCAAATATCTAAAAGATATATTCATGTGAGGAAATTTAAGAAAGAGTAGAAGGCAAACATGGTAGAGAGTATTTGGATGACGATGAACAAGAGCAAAAACAGAAACAATATTGTTACCATTTGGACAGAAAGACAAAATAGATATATTCAGGAAGTCATGCTTTAATGGTAATAGGACTTCAATTATCCAGACATAAGCTAAAACACTCACTCAGCCAAAAGAAGGGTAGATAATAACTTATTGATTTGCTTTAGTCATCACATCATCCTTCAGATGGCAGAAAAGTTAACAATAGAAAATACAATTCTTAGGGGCAGCTAGGTGGCGCAGTGGATAGAGCACTGGCCCTGAAGTCAGGAGAACCTGAGTTCAAATCTAGCCTCAAACACATGCTATTCACCATTTGTATAACCCTGGGCAAGTCGCTTAACCCTAATTGCCTTGCAAAAACAAAATGAAACAAAATACAATTCTAGATCTGATTCTTATCAATATAAACTTGCTTGCTTGGGTGGAAATGATAAGACCCTTGTGAAGAAATGAGGGGTGGAAATGATAAGACCCTTGGTAAGAAGTGACCATTACATTTAAGAATCTATAACAGGTTGCAGTAGAAGACAGGAAATCTGGGCATAGTCCGGCATGCTTTCAAGATCTGAGAAGAGTCTATTTCAAGAGGTTCAGAAAACAGTAGGTAAGAACGCATGACATAAAATCCTAGCTAAGAAATTCTCCTAGTAGAGATGTAAAGTACACAAGAATGAAATTCTGAGAATGCAGAAAAAATTCCAGTGAAAAGTAAGATGCATAAAGAGACAAAAGCGTAAGCACAATGGTACTTTCTAGCCAACTTAAAATTTGAAAAAACATACAGAATATGAAAGCAAAGATGGGTAATAAAAAATGACTAAAAAAGTGTGCCATGATCCAGTATGAATAGTGATATGAGAGCAAAAACTTAGAATGAGTTGAAATTAACAGGAAAGCTAAGTATAACACAAAGGAAACTTTTATGTAACAGGGAAAGATGATCAAAGAAGGCATTGGGACACTTCTCAGGATAGATGAGATGATTATAGCTGATAACAGAACAAGAATAGCTACTCAACTCATTTTGATTGTTTTATCTACCAAAGAGAATGGCCTTTGGGCTAAAAATGACAGAATAAACATGTCTTGTAGACAATTTATAAAAGACAAGTAAAGACACAGAGACCACCTATCTGCTCTTGTCTCTGAAATTCTGTAAAATCACATTCTGTTCCGATTATAACATCTATATCCAGAAAAAGTAAAGCCATTGTTTTAACTTATATTAAATATAATTAAGAACTAGTTGTTCAACCTCTAATGTCCTTGAAAGCTACCTCAAAATCTTCTTTATATTCCTTTAATTCTACTAGCTTTCAAATAACTTTGCTTTATTATATCATCTCTAACTCTTAGAGTAACTAGTCATCTTCTAGTGAAGAGAGCTAACAAGCAACCCAGTTCCACACACCTACTCCAGCAAAAACCTAAAAACAACAGTACCATACGTAACAATGATCAGGAGGTGAGAAGGAAAACTGTCAATAAGTGACCAAAAACTAAACAAAAAGTCAGCCAGAAGCCCAGAGGCCATGGGAAGGAGACAGCCATAAAAGCTAGTGCCAATAGGCAAACACCACAAACCCTTGCTGGAGACAGACTAGAAACACCTAGAGCCTGGGAGGCAATGAATGCAGAGAGGTCCTGCAAGAAAGCTCCAAGATGGTGAGAAAGCCACAGTGGGAAACTGGAAAGAGAGAGAAGGAACAAGGCCAGTTACAGAGGGGCTCTGAGGTTCACACCCCTCTGTCTGAGACCTCACACAGGGCCCTGAAGTTCTGAACCTCTAAGGTTCAGAATAGAGGTAACCAAGAGAAAGGAGGTCAGTGGAGTACCACACAAAAGCATTGAAGGAAACAAAGCCTGGCCCTGGCAGGAAAGCTCCCATGCAAAAATAGGAGAGATAAGTAAATATAAGACACTGCTAGCAATAAAGTATTGTAGCTCCAGAAATACAAAATATTTAATCTAAAAGGAAAGAGTAACTCCCTAACAACTGCAAGGAGAGACTCAAAGGGAAAAAAAAATTATTTTCCACAAAGAGCACACAAAAACCTAGAAAAAATATAGCAAGTGATTTTAAAAAATGAAATAAAAGTTCTGGAGAAAAGAATTGGAAGAAAAATAAACAACTTAGAATAGGAAGTGAGGAACCTTTTCTAAGTAGTAGACTTCCTGAAAATAATTTCCATTTCTATTTCCAAATAGAAATCAACTCTATGAAACAATTTTTTAAAATTAAAATCAAAAGACTAAAAAAAAATAGAAGAAAATATAAGGTATCCGATATAAAAAATAACTCACCGGAAATCAGATCAAGGTGAGATAATCCTTAAATGATGGTTCTTAAATTAGCCAACTCTTCAAAAATTATGATTTTTGAAAGTCTGTATATCAAGAAATGAAGTGAAAATTGCCCATATCTACTAGAACCAGAGGACAAGATGAAAATAGAAAAGGTCTCAATAATGTCATAACCAAAATTCAGAACTTCTAAATTAAAAAATAAAACAAACATTACCAAGGAACCAAAGTTGGGATCACAAAAGATTTGGAAGCTTCTACTAAAAATGAGAGGAGATTTTGGAATATGATATTCCTAAAAGCAAAGGTTAATACACTTAGAACCAAGAATTATTTACAATGAAAATGAGTATGATCCTCCTGGGGGAAAAAACAGACATTTAATGAAATAGAGGATTTCTAAGCTTTTGTGATAAAAAGATACGAACTGAGTAGGTGTTCTGAAATGCAACAAGAGTCAAGAGAAGCTTAGAAAGGTAAATTCACTTGGAAAATTGGAAGGGATTGTAAAATGATGAAGAGCTAGCATTCTAATAGGAGGAGAAGAAACAGGTGCCCTGTAGGAAATTTAATGTCTTCAATGGGTATGAAGAGAGTTAAATAAGAAATTTCTTTTGATTTTTATTTTCTTTTGATTCTGATCTAAGTCTGAAGAGGAGAAAGAAAAAAAATTGGGTAAAAGGAAAACACAAGAGTAGAAAGGAGAAGGAAGATAGAACTTACTATTTTCATAAGTGGGATATGTGTGTGAAAGTTTAAAAACAGAGAGGAAGAGATGAGGGGAATGATCATTAAACAGAGAGGAAGAGATAAGGGGAATGATCATTAGAAGGACCTCACTAGGGGCAGCTAGGTGGTGCAGTGGATAGAGTACCAACCTTGGAGTTAGGAAGACCTGGGTTCAAATCCGGCCTCAGACACATAACACTAGCTGTGTGACCCTGGGCAAGTCGCTTAACCCCATTGCCTAGCAAAAAAAAAAAAAAGGACCTCACATATCGAAACTGAACAAAGAAAGGTTGGACATGTGTAAGTATGTATGCACACATATGCGCCAACTATAGTATAAAAATATCAAACTCAACAGGGTCAGACAGAGATAGGGTGAAGTGGAGTTAAGTGGAAGATACTATCAGGAAGGGAAAAGTCACAAACAAAACAAACTCAAATGTCCAATCTTGAAGGAGAAATTAAAAGGGAAAAAAACAAGAAAAAAAACTGAGGAATGATATAAATGTAATGGAATATTACTGAGCTGTAAGAAAAGACTAAAGATGACTTCAGAAAAAGCTGCAAAGCAAGAATCAATGCAGAGTGAAGCGAACAGAACAGGAAAACAGCCTATACAATGATAACAACATTGTAAAGAAAAACAAGTTTGAGACACTTAAAAACTCTGACCATGGTTCAGATGACCATATTACCTAACTCCTGACAGAGAGGCATAAAACTCAAGGCACAGAAAGACATATACATATTTGAACATGGCCACTATGTGAAATTGTTTTGCTTGACTGTGCTTATGTAACAAGATGGGGCTTTGATTTTGAAATAATCAGATTGATTCTGTCTTTTTTTAATTGATATCATTTACAAAATACTGATTTTTTTCCTGTAACTTGCCTAAGTCATGATTTTTTTGTCTCTGAACTTAATTCAGAAATGTAGCCAGTCTGTAATGAGTTGAGTTTAGAAATCCAATTCTCCTGTTAACCTCTGTTCTATCTTTGTGTCAACGAAATCTGTTACCCTTAAAGGATGCAGGTGGACAGCAGGGAGACTGGTCTAGTATTTTTACACCACTAAGCTATCCTTCAAGGGTGTCTGGTTTGTAATACAAAGAAGCCTGGTTTGCTATCTCTGTTCTCACAGATGTAGCTAGACTCAAACAATGAACATTTCTTAGTCACAGGAGGGAAGGAAGGGGTTGTTCCTAGCCTTCATTCCCAATTTCCATCCAATTAGATTTTATTCCATTTATGATTCTTCCTTCCTATTTTCTGTACTCCCCAAAACTATAAAAAGTGCTATTAACTCCATAACTGGGTTTTAGCTTTGCTGGGGAAGCTGAGATCCTATTTTCTCCTAAATTCAGGCTTTACTAAGAAACTGATCATGCTCAGAAATTTGTGTCTTAGTTTACTGTAATTGTTTTTAATTGCTACAGTTTGTTCTCTCCCCCCCCCATTTTTCATTGGGTGGAAGAGAGAAGGGAATAGCAAAAGTGATCAAGACAAGTAAGGGGAAAAGGGAAGGTGGAAGAAGGGATCACCAACATTTTCTTTAAATGAATTTATGAAAACAGAAGAAAGTCAAGAAGGATGCAACGACAAGGTAGTTTTGAACGCAATGAGTTGAATTTATTACATACTTTTTGAAAACAGGTAGTATGGAATATAGTCATGCTTTCATATTCAATTCTCTTTTTATGTTCTACTTTGTATATGTATATGCTTTTACATATTTTGGAGAATGTTTCTTAAGTTCAAAATAAAATATTAAATTAAAAATCTCACGGAAATTGCATGCCCTACTTAAATAGTGATTGTATTGTGAAAATCAAACACTGATCTTATATTTTATATATGATTCCACTCTGTAATTGATTCTGTTCTGTGACCTCATTCTGTATTTTATAAACCTTTTCTTTGTCTCTGAGTGAAGAATTTCATTAGTTCACAAGTTTAGTCTTCCTCTCTCAAGTTAGATGCCAAAAGTTTAGTCTCCCTATCAATCATTTTTAATCAAAGAAAAATTCTGAGCTAAGTTTAGAGGTTCAATACTTTCATAAAACACTTTAATGCTAGGGGAATTGTTATCTCAGCACCACCTGAAAATCACTTTGTGTCAAGGAAACTTTTTATTCGTCATAATTTTTATTTCCATCTTAGCCCATACTTGTCAACTAAAAGGGGGTCTTATCTCATTCCCAGGAGCCAGTGAGTCTGGTCCATATCAACCCTCAGGATGCAGTTGGGTCCCATAAATCAATAAAGCATTACTCTAAGACAGAGAGAGAGGTGGTCCTGGTCCCTCAGGTATGTAAGCCCATGTTACTTAATGTAACCAATCATAATTCCTCACACCCATGATGCTGCCAACCCTATAATCAATTGTATTATATCCTCACCTACCTGTTTTGTTCTTTGTTCTATGCTTAGAAAAAGAAGTTGCATCACCATCTCAGGATCTTTTGGCTAAGGTAGACATTAGACCCACTTTATTACTAGGGTCAGGCTCTGCTAATAAACTGTTACCTTTCTTGAAGAACATGGGCCCCAGTCTACCTTAATTTTTTAATTCCATTTTTAGTTTTCATAAGTATTCAGTAGAAAGTCATTTTATCCTCTTGTTTAATCACATCTAAAGGAAAGAAACCTTAGCTTCATGAGGTCACAACTAAGACCACCATTCATCCAACAACTGTGTATAGTATAACTGCAAGCACCAAAAAGGAAAAATCAGTAGTTTCTTGAGTACTACTTCATACATCTGAAGCCATAAAATGACAGCAAATATCTGTTATGTTATTTCTGATAGTTTTATTTGTAAATTCTAAGGTGAACTATATAGGAGGAAATATTATTCTAAAGAAGATAAATAAAATTGCTAACATAGCAGGAATTCGATAAATATTTGGAAACCCACAGAGTTAATCATTTTCTAAAATCTACACCTTTAAATTCCAACTTAGTTATATATTGTTTAGCCACTAGAGATCTTTGATTTGAATATGTTGGATAAAATTTAAGCCAAATTTTTCATTTTGAAAAAATTATACTGTTTTTACCATACTTTTGTTGATGTGATTATATGAGGTTAATCTTAAGACTGCTTCATAAGTCTTATGTGAATAATGATTAACTGAATCATGTGAATAACAATTAAGATCTCAGTATAAGAAAAAATAAAATTCTCTTTCTTTTCTACAGCTAAAATATACAAGTAGTCAATTGCATAGTATTTTGTTCTTACCTGATAACCATATATCTCAATAATACTTGAAGAAAAAAGCAGGTTTGGTCCTCACCAATTTTTTCACTTGATACAGCTGGCAAGAGTGGAGTTATTTCTTCAGGATGTATCTTTGCTAAAATGTGAATCATAATTAAATTTTATTAAAGCTAAATTTCAATAAGGTAACAGAAAGCAAGGAATTCAGAGTTATCAATAATAATTTAAAAAAATAAACTGCTAATCCTATGGTATATGGGACGATTTAAATGCCTTCCCAGTACAGAAAACCTCTGCATCATCACTTCTATTCAACCATTCTTAATATTTCTCTTTTTTTCCTTTTTTTTTTTTAGGCAATTTGGGTTAAGTGACTTTCCCAGGGTCACACAGCTAGTAAGTGACAAGTGTTTTCTGGATTTGAACTCAGGTCCTCCTGACTTCAGGGCCAGTGCTCTATCCACTGCGCCATGTAGCTGCACCCCATTCTTAATATTTCCAATTTTACTCAGGCAACCACATTTCGTAAGGACATTTCTTTCACCTTGAAAAAAAAGAAACACCATCTATTTCTTTTTTATTTAAATTTTCAGGGGCTAATTGCCCACCCCCTAGACCTCTTTAGATGGTTCTAAACTGAAGGCCCTAATGACTGAGAAGGAATGCTGAAGAAGGCAATAAAGACTGCATGGGAAGATGAATTTGATATGAAGTCAATGTTCTGTCCTTAAGTAAATGTACCAGTAGCATGAATTATTTGTTCTTTTAACAATCTCTTATAGATATTCTATGAATACTCCATTTTAATTAATGCCTAATAGCCTACCATGATATCTAGACCTGATAAAAGGGCAAGTCGGCCACAGTGGAGAATTACAAAGTTGAAGTGGATGGAGAGGTCTCCAAATAATAGAACTTAGCTTAATGAAGCTTGACACCAGGTAAAGGCCCAGCATTGCAGCAAAAAGTCCCTCTAAACCAAAAAATGGCTTATAAACAATCTGCTTCTTTTAAGAACCTAGGGCCTACTATGAAGATTGGTTTCTTCAGCAAGCTAGGCCCTGAATACCAAAGGTTCTCCCTAGCACCATAAATTCACTATCATTCCAAGTCTCATGCCTGTCTGGAAAATACTAACTTTAGATCTCTGCAGCTTTCCCTAAGCAAGTCTCAGTACTCTTCCGAAACACCACCAATATCAGTCTCACATGCTACCAGAAACAGGCCTCTAAGAACCTCATCTCATACAGGGCAACTTGGTAGTTACAAGATATCACAAGTTTCTCCTGATGACACAGCCTCCTTGGCCACCCTTTCCAGTACTGGCTGTGCTTTCACTTATTTCCTTTGTCTCAGTGGTTGGGGCAAAGGAGTTTAATGCTCCTTGCTCCCCATTGCCACTTCCAGGTTTTCCTCCTACCTCCATCATTGTCCTCCTTTGATGTCAACACAATCCACATCTTCCAATCAAAATCCTGATAGTTGTTGACTAAAGACCTCCAGGACATTCTCTCTCCTTCCTCAATAAGTTCAACACCTGGCTCACAGTATTTCTCTCCTTTTCAATTCATACCCTCATACAGAGGGACTTCATCATAAATACTGACTCACCCTCAAACACCTTAACCATCAGTTCCCCAACTTATTCTCTTCCCATGACCCGCTCCTCTACCCCACCTCAACCACACACAAAGATGGTCATACCCTTGATCTTCCTGCAATCCACAAATTTACCACCTATGTATTCAAGAATTCTGAAATCCCTTTAGCTAACCATAATCTATTGGTTCCTCTCTTTTCTAAAAAATTTTATTTTATTTTCAATTAATGGAACAAAACAAGCATTTCCATAACACAGTACAATAAAAAAGATGATTACACTTGAAACTACAAATCTGTCACGTACAGCTTGCTATTCCTTCCAAATATACAACAAAGTTATCACATAAATTTCTTTTTTTTCCCTTTTTTTCACTTCCCCCCCACCTAGAGATGACTACCATTAGACACATATGGGTATGTATGTGTGTATATACACATATATTTATAAATTATTCTATACATACTTCTATTTATCCTTTCTTTCTCTGGATGCATATAGTATCTTTCTTCATATGCCCTTTATTTTTAATTTGTGTATTTATAATAGTCAAAATGACTGGGGGCAGCTAGGTGGCGCAGTGGATAGAGTATCAGCCTTGAAGTCAAGAGGATCTGAGTTCAAATCCAGCCTCAGACCAAACACTTGACACGTATTAGCTGTGTGACCCTGGGCAAGTCACTTAACCCCAATTGCCTAAAAACAAACACACACAAAAAAACACCAAAAAAATGACTTAGTCATTCAAAGTCACTCTTAAAACACTATTGCTGTTACTGTATACTATGTTCTCTTGGTTCTGCTCACTTCACTCTTCATTATTTCACAGAAGTCTCTCCATGCCTTTCTAAGATCACTGAACTCATAATTTCTTATAACACAGTAGTATTACATCACAACTATACACCACAACTTGTTCAACCATCCCCCAATTGATTGGGATCCCTGTAATTTCCAGTTCTTTGCAACTACAAGGAGACCCGCTATAAACATCCATCCCATTCGCATTTAAAGTTATAATTACAATTTCCTGCCATGTTAATTTTTACTATTTTCTTTCTCAGCCTCTCTTTTCACCCTATCCCCGTCACCTTGTCTTCTCCTCGTACCCTCCCACCCCACCACTTCACCCACCCCTCCAAAAGTTCCCCATCTCCTCCCCCCACTCCCCAATCTCAATCCATATACCCCTCCAAAAGTCCCCTCCTTCTTCCTTCCCTTATCAGATTTTACTTTTTGTTCACATCATGACCTCTAATCTCTTGATCCCTCAATTCTGTTCCAGGCCATCACCTTTTCACTATCAATCTCTCCTCTTTTCCCTAATCTTGATCAATTGGTGAACTAGTTTAACTCTACCCTGTCTGCTTCTCTAGAGTTCCTGGCCCCCTTATAATATCCTGGCACTCTTCCTACCTACTAATGGTAGATGTCCACAGGCCTCTGTCCTGGGCCCTCTCTTCTCCTCTTCTTCTATAGTACTTCACTTTGTGATCTCATCAGCTCCCATGGATGATTCTCATCATAAACACAACCTGTCCAAGATGGAACTTATGATCTTTCTCCCTTAACCCTCTCCCCTTCCCAACTTCACTATTTCTCTCAAGGGTACTACCATCCTCCTAGTCTTCCAAGCTGTTGCCAAGGGCTGTCAATTTCACCTCTGCAATATCTCTAGAATACACCCCTTCTTCTCTCCTCTGAAACTACCAACACTCTAGTGCAGACCTCACACAAAGACTTTTGTAATAGCCTGCTGGTGGCTTTGCCTGCCTCAAGTCTCTCCCCCACTCATCTGTCCTCCATTCAGCAACTAAGGTGATTTTCTTAAAATGCAGAGCTACTCATGTCACCCCATACTTAAACTCCAATGGCTTCCTATTAACTACAGGATCAAACACAAAATTGTCTGTTTGGGGTTCAAGGCCCTTCATAACCTAGCACCTGCCCCACATTTCCAATTTCATTACAACTTATTCCTCACCATGTACTCTTTCAATCCAATGACAATGGCTTCCTTGCGATTCCATAAACAATACACTCCATGTCTCAGCCCCAGGTATTTTTTCTGTCTGTCTTCCATGGTTGGAATGCTCTCTTTTCTCTTTTCTGTCTCTAGGCTTCTGGCTTCCTTCAAGTCCCAACTTAAATTCTACCTTCTACAGGAAACCTTTTCCAATGACTCTAAATTCTACTGTCTTTCCATAGCTTGTCTGTACATATTTGCTTCCTTGTTGTCTCCTTGATTAGATTGTGAGCTCCTTGAGAGCAAGTCTCTTTTGTATCTGCAGTACTTAGCATAGTGCCTGGCATGTAACAGGCACTTATAAATGTTTACTGACTGACTGATAAGCCAATCACAGTTTTGATCCTCACCTCTACACCAAAGACTATTGTTATCTACATTCCCAGCCTTAACATCTCTAAACTCCAGTCTCATTATTTCCAATTGCCATCTATATTTCTTTCTACCTAGATATCCTACTATACTTCAAGCTCAACATATACAAAACCAAACTTATCATTTTTTCTTCCCAAAATCTGTGGCATTCCCTAAATTCTCTACTAACACAGCCACACAGATTTGAAACCTTCAGACTAGTACTATGAACTGAATGTTTGACCATTCCCTATTCTTCATGCCTCCATACCCAATTAGTAGCCAAGATTTGTCTTACTACTCCTCTGTCTCTCTCCCTGCCCATCTTTCCCATTCCCATTCAAACCATCTAAGTCACTTTTTTTTGCCTGGAGTACTTCAAAAGTTTCAACTGTTCTGCTTTTCTATGGCTTCTATCCTCTCTTATCCATCCTTGATACCACTGCCCAAGTAATCTTCCTAATATACTGCTTTGATCACACTAGTCCCCTGCTCAAAAATCTTTAATGGCTTCCTATTGTTTACCTAAAGGAAATATAAATCTATTTTATCCTAATGTTGAAGGTCCTCCAAGAGTAATTTCAACCTTCCACTGCTCCTCTTCATTATACTAGTCTAACTGTATGATATATCATGGCCTTATCCTACCTTCATCTGCTTCAATTCATATCATTTTATGTCCTTAAAATGGACTCCACTCCCATTTCCACCTAATGAAATTTCATCTCAGGCAACACTTCTATGAAGTCTCTTCCCATCCCCTAGTAGAAAATGCTATCTGTCTCCTCAAATTTCTAAAAGCATTTTGTTTGGTTCATTCTTCTGTACTTTTTCACATTATGCTCATATTATAGACATTGAAAGACCTCACTAATTCACCATCGCCATTAGACTGCAAGGATTCTTTGAAGGTAGGGATGGTGTGGTATTTTATCTTTGTGTCCTCAGTGCCTAAGCATAATACCTTACACATAGAAGTCATCTAATTAAGCTGTGATGAATTGAACTGAATTACAATGTTCAGTTTGACAGACAGTAGTGGGAGCAACAATACAGAATAGTTTAAGTCAAGAAATTCAATGCTGTTTAGCATCTACAAAAAAAAATTGTAGTTAAACTGTCCAAAATATAAAAGGTATTTCTCCTTAACATATTTATCATTTCATCCTGGGGACTATTCTCTATGTTCAAAAAAAAAAAGATATTGTTCACTCTGACAACGAATGAATGAAAAAGCATTTACTAAATGCTTTCTATGTGTAAAGCACTACACTAAAAACATTAACTTATATATAACATATATGACATATATTAACCTATACTGTGGCTGGTGAAAGATGAAATGACTGAGAAAACAAAGGTTTGACCTTCTGAGCAAATTTAGTTGCCCAATAAATCAGTCTCAGTCCTTCCTTGGCTTTAGCACTGGACCTTGAATACAAAGGGAATCAAATTTTTATTCATTAAAAACAATCAAATAAAACCAGCTAATTAAAAAAAAAAATTAACCAGGATGTAAAATTAGGTCACTTGATTTCTAACTGGAGGAAATATTAGGGACTTTCCAAGTTGGGAGGAGGAGAGCAAACAGGTGCAGTTCTCTGAAATCAGAAAAATAGCTGTCCCACTTCTCCCAAGTGTCTGTCTTCAATCAAAGGAACATGGAAATAGTAACTGATTGACTAGTATGGAGCCAGTTTTCATATAAGACATATAGGTTGCTTAAGATATATAACTGTGAGAAAACTCTTTGCATTAACCTTCGGATCTGACTGGGTTTCTGGTCAGCATAATGTAGGCTCTTAGTTAAGCATCTCTAAGCAGTAAGTAGAGGCAGCCCAGCTTCCTAGCCATGCAGGGCTAGGTTCAAATAATGCAATAAAGTTTTCTCATGATTCCCACAATATGCAATACAAAAAAGTTTTCTCACAAGGCAGAAATTGGACTAAACCCATAACTGAATGGAAAGGAAAATATGCTAGCTCCAGAACTGAGTCGTAAGATGGAGTTACTTAATTGCCTCAATATAAAAGTATTATCTCTATATTAAAAAAAAAAGAAAGGTATTGTTCACTCTAAATGAACGAATGAAAAGGCATTTATTAAATGCTTTCTATGTGCAAAGTATTACGCTAAAGGCTGGGAATATAAATAGAAAAGTAGGACAGTTCCTTCTCTCAAGGAGCTCAAATTCTAATAGGGATGACAACTCATAGGTTTCAGCAGCAAGTCTAATGTAAGGCCAAGTGGTCTTTAGGGTACAGTAACCAGGCAGATGGCAATGCATCTTATTTAGTGTCATTTCTATTTATAATACCACGAACATTTGTAATGTTGATGGTACCAAGGGTTTTGGTATCTTTAATCCTTGCAGATTTTGTTGCAGAATCTATCTTTCACAAGAGAGACTTGCTTATGATTTATACTCACAAGTTAAATAAGTCCACAAATGTAACGGATAATTTCAACATTCTGTAATGTTACTTACTATCAGATGAAAAAGGAGTAGGATTTATAAGTGTGTCAAGTGTACAGGGACCTCTTGATGACATAACTGCTGGAAATCCAGGTACAAGGCAGGCAAAAATTAGCACCTGCTCTTCTGCACAATTTGTCTGAAGTGCTTGAAGCCATAGAAGATACAGCCGGATTCCTTCACATCTTATCTAACAAACAACAAAAATATTTTCAGAAATTATTCTTAATGTAAAATCATCATAGCTTTGCAATGAAAAATAAACTAAATGGAAACTATATAAAAACTAATACTATTGGTAACAAACAAGTACTACTTAGAAATAAAGCATGCTGGCCAATTCCTTGATCATTTCCTAATGGTAAAAATAAGCCGTCTCTCTCTACCTCACCCCCATCAAAATTATATCTTGTTTAATCTAAAAGTATGTATTAGACTTAAAACTACAGATGTACATGATACTTAGAGAATTCATATTTCAAAAAAAAAAAAGGAACCTACAATAAAAACCTAACCCATCAGAGCTGGAAAACTCTCTAATTTCCCTATTCTGCTCTCTTTATTTAATTCCTTCTTGCTTGCCAATGTATTCTGAGGATGGATTTCTAAAATCCATAGTTTATGGATTATGGATAGTTGATGGTATAAAATCCCTGGGATTTATAAGATCTTTCTACATTTCTACTTTCTAATGCACACAAATCTAAGTAGAAGTTATAATAAAAACCATAGTTAAGTAGGCAGATATAACATAGTTTCTACTTATATGGTACTGTACAGTTATAATACATCCACTATTTTGTCCTCACAATATTCTTATAAGTTAGTAGAAATATTTTCATTTTACAGATAAGGAAACTATAATGGTTTGTCCAAAGTCACACAATTATGGGTAGCAGAGAGGTAAGTACAAATGATTCAAGTCCAGTGTTTTTTCTACTACTGATCAACTTAACTGCTGCTTTTAACATTGCTAACCATTGGGGCAGCTAGGTGGCACAGTGGATAGAGCACCGGCCCTGGATTCTGGAGGACCTGAGTTCAAATCTGGCCTCAGACACATAGTACTTACTAGCTGTGTGACCCTGAACAAGTCATTTAACCCCCATTGCCTAGCCAAAAAACAAAACAAACAAACAAAAACCATATTGTTAACAATCCCCTTCTCCTAGATGCTCTTTCTTCTCTAGATTTCATGACACTGTTTGACTCCTTACTCTCTTTCCTCCACTTATCCAATCAGTTGCCAAAACTTGCTATTTCTGTCTTTACAACATCTCTCACATCTGACCACTTTTTTCCACTTACAAAGTTACCATCTTAGCACAGGCTTTCACCACCTCTCACCTAGACAATTACAACAGCCTTCCTCTGCCCCTAGCCTCTCCCCACTGCAGTACATCCTCTATACCTCTGCCAAAAGGATTTTCCTTAAAAAAAGATTTTGACTGTGTAATTAATTATCCTACTCAGCCAGTTCTAGTTACTTCCTATTGCTTCTAGGATCAAATCTAAACTCCTCTGCTTGTCTTTTAAAGCCCTTCAGATTCTGGCCCCTGTCTTTCCAACACAATGGAATTCATTCCTCCTCCCATACTCAGCAATCTGGTCAAATTAGCTTTCTCTCTCTGTTTCACAGACAACACTCCACCTCCTATCTCTGTGCCTTTATATCTGTATGCACTCCCTCCTTACCTCTACCTCCTTACTACTACCATAGTTTCTCTCTTCCTCTAACATGCAGCTTAAGCACTATCATCTACATAAAGCTTTTCTGGATTCCCCCAACTACCTTGTATGTAACTACATTGTATTATAGGTCTACTATATGTTCATTAACATTAGATTTTTGCTACATAAATATATATTTCCATATATATATGGATGTATATGCATCTAAATTATTGTTTGTCTAGCCCATCAGAATGAAAGCTGATTATGCGTAGGCACCTGGCACAGGAAGAGAACTGTAACCACTCAAAGGAGTTTGGCCAGTCCATTCACATAGGAAAGATCAAGTGGATGAAAAATTCCTACAGCTCAAAATTCAGCATGCATTTTAGTAAGCACCTTATTTTCAAAACTATGTATATCTTGAAAGGACGGTACAAATGGACAATGAATAAGTTGAGTACAGAATTGAACAAGAGAAGATCAGTCTAGATTGCTTTTGGAAAAACTCATATCTCTTTTACTGACCCCAATTTTCCCATGAAAACAAAGGTTCATTTTTTCAATACTAATATTTTACTGATATTGCTATATTGCTGTGAGACACATTATGTAGCTGCCTCCAAAGAATTAAACATAAGCACTACACAGAAGACAATGAAGAGGTAAATAAAAGACGTGAATAAGATGCAACATACAACCAAAGTGGAACTCTGAAGGACAGGAATAAAAGACATTATCAAGAAATTATATGATAGGAAGAGAAGATGAGGTGATCACACAGCAAGAACAAAGGTTGAAATCTGGATAACCAAAGTGTATAAATGTTACCCTCAGGAAGTCAGAGGAATGCAGAGAAGGACTGCAATGTGTTGTGTGGACTCTGTGTGGTGAAGTTTTGAGAAGAAACAATAAACAAGAGTCCCACAGGATATATATGTATGTATGGGTAACAATCCACATGGTTGAAGGGAATTCCCAAATCACTGAGATCACATATTCATTTGAATCAAGTTACATAAGTCAATAATCATTTATTAAGCACCTATCAAGTACCAGGTACTGTACTAAAAACTGGGGATATAAAGAAAGCTAAAAACAGGCCCTGCCCTCAAGACACCGACAATCTTATGGGGAAGACATATAAAAAGCTATGTACAAACAAGATATACACAGGATAAACTGAAGATTATCTCAGAGGGAAGGCACTAGCATTAACTTCCTTCTGTTTATATTTAAAAAACAAATACGTTAAGGATAAAAAGTCAGACTGACAACTACCTTTAACTTACCCTAATCACTATATTTCCTGAAAACCCATAGTTTAAAAGATACAAAGCCATTAAATTCCACAGATGTGTTCTTGCACACTTTTCCTACTTTTGCTTTCCACTGATGTTAGATCTCCTTCTGTCATTTATATCAGGATTATGAAGCTCACCTACTTTTTGTCAGTACAATAGTGCCCAAACCTGGAGCCAGCCAGAAAAATCTGAACAGGATTTTGAGACTCTTTATCTGAAAGATATCCTTTCACTAATACAAACAAACCAACTACAACAACAACATAACAGAGATACTAGAAAGGAGGATCACAGGATGGAAAAGAAATCAGTAGTAAAAAGAGTCCTGGAAAGAAAAGAGTACTTCCAAATTTATAAGAATATAAGTTATTCCCCAATTGATAAATGGTCAAAGGATATGAACAGGCAGTTTTCGGATGAAAAAATTAAAGTTATCTATAGTCATATGAAAAAATGCTCTGAATCACTACTGATTAGGGAAATGCAAATCAAAATGACTCTGAGGTACCACATCATACTCATCAGATTAGCCAACATGATAAAACAGGAAAATGATAAATGTTGGAGGAGACATAGGAAAATTGGAACACTAATGCATTGTTAGTGGAGTTGTGAAATGATCCAACCCTTTGGAGAACAATTTGGAAGTATGCCCAAAGGGCTATGAAAATGTGCATACCCTTTGACCTAGCAATAGCACTTCTAGGGCTGTATCCCAAAGACATCATACAAATGCACCCACATGTACAAAAATATTTGTAGCAGCTCTTTTTATGGTGGCCAATAATTGGAAATTGAGGGGATGCCCATCAATTGGGGAACGGCTAAACAAGTTGTGGTATATGAATGTAATGGGAAATTATTGTGCTCTAAGAAATGATGAGCAGGCAGACTTCAGAAAAACCTGGAAAGACTTGTATGGACTGATGCTGAGTGAAGTGAGCAGAACCAAGAGAACGTTGTACACAGCAACAACCACGTTGTCTGATGACTAATGTTGATAGACTTTGCCCTTCTCAGCAATGCAAGGATCTAAGACATCTCCAAAGGTATCATGATAGAAAATGCTATCCACATCCAAAAAAAGAACTATGGAGTTTGAATGCAGATCGAAGCATACTATTTGCTATTTTTTTTCTTCTGTTTTCTTTTGCTTCCTCTATCTGGTAGTTCCTCCTATTGGTTCTAATTCTTCCTTACAACATGACTAATGTGAAAATATGTTTAATAGGAATGTATATGTATAGCCTATATTAGACCACGTGCCATTTTGGGGAGGGGGAGAAAATTTAAAACTCAAAAGCTTATGAAGCGATTGTTGATAAATCAAAATAAATTAATAAAAAAAATTTTAAAAAAGGAAAGAGTACTTCAGAGGGAAAAAATAAACAGCCCAGATTTAAGTCAAGATAAGATAAATTCATATCCTGAATTACTTGACAAAATAGAAGTTTTAATTTTTTAAAGTGAGGTTATCTTCAATATTTAAGAAATATTAAACATAACATGTACTAACTGTATAAGATTTTAAGAAAGCTTTCTCTTTATACCATCCATAATGAATTTAGAAAAATTAACATGTCAAGGTTTAAGCTGCTGCAACTTTTTAAAATGATTAGCTATATGTGAATTACCCTCAGTAAAATGCGGTAAAATGCTAGTCCAAAAGTAAGTGAATATCACTAAATATGTTTCTAGACTGTATCCTGGACATCATAGATTGATATATCCTCTTAGAGAAAACAAATTCATTTTAATATAAGCCTAAGAAAAGCATCATCCAGAAGGTAAATCTGCTTCAAAGTAACCAAGTGTTCCAAAGCTTCTGTTTAGTTTGTCCATAATACCACTCTTCTTTATTAGTTTATGGATAAAGGTCTTTAACAAGAGAATTACTGCATTATAAAACCTCAGAATCCAAGAATGTTAGTGTAAAAGGGAATCACAGACTTCACTTCATCTAAATCCTCATTTGAGACAAGAAAACTGAGTTTCTAAGAGTTTAAGAGAGTTGCCACACAGGAACAAAATATGAACTAAAACCCAGGTCTCTCAGCTGCCAAAATCCAATACTATTTCTACTACACTCAATAAAACTAAAACATAGATCATCATAAAAATTTGTTTATGAAATAAAAATATTAATATTATTTTTGACAAATTTTACTGATTAGCAATATACCAAATTAAAGTCATATTTTAAAAGGTTAGTTGAAACAATTAATGATTTTAGCAAAGTAGTAGGATATAAAGTAAATCCATATAAATCATCAGCCGCAAACAAAACTGTATTCCTATACGCCACAAACAAAACTCTGCAAGAAGAGACAATATAAAATATCCCATTTAAAATAACTAGACAGTATAAAACACCTGGGAGTATACCTGCCAAAACAAACCCAGGAACTATATAAACAAAATTATTACTTCTCATATAAATAAAATCTGATTTAAATAACTAGAGAAATATTAATTGTTCATGAGTAGGCAGAGCCAATATAATAAAAATGACAATTTTACTCAAACTAATTTATATATTCAGTGTTATCCTATTAAATTAGCAAAAAAATATTTTTAACTGACTTAGAAAAGTATGATAAAATTCATTTGGAAAAACAAAGTCAATAATATCAAAAGAAATAATGAAAAAATGTAAAGGAAGGAGGTTTAGCAGTATCAGATCTTAATCTATATTATAAAGCAGTAATTATCAAAACTATCTGGTACCAGCTAATAAAAGGTTGATCAATGGAATGGAGTAGACATACAATTTATAGCAATTAATAAACATAATAACTTTGTATTTGACAAATGTAAAGACTTAAGATTTTGGGATTAAGAACTCACTATTTGGTTAAAAAAATTGTTGGGAAAACTGGGAAACAATATGGCAGAAAATGGGCACAGACCAATATCTTCCCATTTACCAAGATAAGGTCAAAATGGATATACAACCTAGATATAAAGAGAGACATTAAAAGAAAATTAGAAGAACATGGAACATATTACTTATCAGACTTACGGGTAGGCGAACAATTTATGAATAAACAAGAGATAGAGAGAGCAAAGTTATGGGTAAAATGGATAATTTCAATTACATTAAATTTAAAAAGGTTTTGTGCAAAATAAAACAAAAGTAACCAAGATCAAAAGGAATTCAGAAAATTGGGGGAAATTTTTATAGACAGTTTATCAAGTAAAAGTCTATCTAAAACATATAAAGAACTTTGTGAAATCTATAAGAATACAAGTCATTTCCCAATTGATTAATGGTCAAAGGATATGAACAGGCAGTTTTTAATGAAGAAATCGAAACAATTTATAGTCATAAGAAAAAATGTTCTAAATCCTTATTGATTAGAGAAATGCAAATTAAAACAACCTTGAGATATCATCTTACACCTATCAGGTTGGCTAAAATGATAGAAGAGGAAAGTGATAAATATTGGAGGGGATGTGGAAAAATTAGGACACTAATTCATTGTAGGTGGAATTGTGAACCGATCCAACCACTGTGGAGAGAAATCTGGAATTATGCCCAAAGAGTTAGTAAACTACCTTTAACTCAGCAATACCACAACTTGATCTATTTCCAAAGATGATTTCGGAAAAAGGAAAAGAATCTATATGTTCTAAAATGTTTATAGCAGCTCTCTTTGTAGTGGCAAAGAACTGGAAATTACAGGGATGCTCATCAATTGGGGAACGGCTGTACAAGTTTGTGGTATGATTGTGATGGAATACTGTACTATAAGAAACGATGAGCTCAATGATTTTAGAAAAACATGGAAAGATTTGCATGAAATAATTAAGAGAGAAATAAGCACAGCCAATAGAACACTGTATACAGTAACAGCAATATTGTTTTAAGAATGACTATGAGCAAATATTATTACTATTACAAACTTGTAATATTATGAACATTATAAATGTATATTTGAAAGGAATAACAAGTTGTGCATAGTAGATTTGCAGTTGCATGTGTAATCATCTTTTTTACTGTACTGTTATGGAAATGCTTGTTTTATTCTATAAATTAAAATTAATTAAAATAAAAATAAAATCATATTTTAGGTGAAATTTTTTAAAATTGTCACTCCAGAGCACTGATGACATTATAAGTTTGAGATTCTGCTTTCAGCTGAGATAAGTACCTTAACAGAATTTCCAGTGTGCAAAAGCTTCTTTAGAGTCGATCCTAAAATGAAAAAAGATGCATTTATAATACAGGAATTCACATATAAAGTCAATATCTTGTAGCAATAATTTAAGTATTTTAAATGAAAAAGTAATAGTCTTTTAAAAAGAATGCTAGACCTAATAAGCACTGAAAGAAAAAAATAGTTTGATTCACACTCAACCAAAGATAAAAGTTAATATTAAAAAATGGAAGTGACCTTCAGAGATGAATATACGTTACAGACAGAGAGACCTTTTAAGATAATTCCATTTTAATTATGTAACTTGTCAAAAGCCTTTCCTGAGGTCCAAAAGCATTTGATATTATAGGAATCTATTTAACCACGTTGTATTTTATGTAGTACCTATCTCTTATCATGCAAAAAATGAATGATAAATAAATCTCCAATGGTAAAAACATGAATTAATTTGCAAAGTCAACTAATGTTCACTTAGAAACAATTTAAAGATATTAAAACTTGTGAGCTACTTTGCTAGCAACAGCACCCACAATTGTAGGCAGAGCTACATTAGTAAATTGTATAACATAGCATCTTGGTGACCAACACTGAAACTTATAGGCAACTGCACCAACAAAATGAAGGAGCCCTTTGTGCTATATTCCACTAACAGTGGGAAAAGATCCTCCTGGCCATAATCAACCAAACACACTGATGATACAAAAACGAAAAATGGATCTCTGTCTGTTCTCAAGGGGAGCCACACATATTTAAGGATATAGAGAAATAAATACACAGGCATTTTGGGAGAGAAGGCAGCTTGGGAGGATCATATAAGATGGAGACTGAGATGAATCTTAAAGGCAGTAGGGACTCTGTAAGGCTAAAAAAAAAAGAAGAGGGAATACATTATAGGTATGGGGGTCTTGCTGCATTTTTATAACTGTGTCCCTAGCTTTTAACACAGTGCCTGACATAGAATAAGCACTTTAATGCTCTTTCACTCACACTGCTTTGAGGCTTTTAAGACAATTATATACGGCCTTATATCATTTATTACTTTCCTTGGGTACAAGACATGTCTCATTGACTTGATAAGTACATCAAGTTAACTAACCATATCTTATAATCTTAGTATAGAGCAAAATGTCATAAAGTAGATGTCCAATATACAGTCAATTAAATCTAATTGGCTAAGCCAATTCTATGTACTTTTCATTAACTATCTTTTTTATAAAATCCCTCAAGTCTGGAAAAAAAAGCTTTATTTTCAACATATTTTAGTGAAAAACAATGTAATACAAATAGAAGGTAAGTTGTTATGGTGGAAAGAGCACCGGATTAGCATTCAGAGGACTTGAGTTTCCCTCTTGTCTATACTACACTGTATGTCTATGGGCAAGTCACAATGGCCTCTGGGCCTCAGGTCTTTTACCCTTAAAATAAAGAAAGGACAAGATCAATTTTTTAATGCACATTTTAAAACAGCAGTCAAATTTTATAGTGTTAATTGGTATTCTTTGAGTTTATAGGAAAGAGTTTTTAAAGAATTCCAGTTATCTCTTTTTATTTCTGTCTTGGCTAACTGTAAAATTAACAAATTTTTTCCCCGGATCTTGAAGTTTCATTTTCACCCATTATTTCTACTACCAACACTATCATTTATTCACCCAACATAGAGTAGTTCACCAAGTTCTTGGATTAATATCAGAATATTTTGTGCAATATATTTTCCCCTTGCCTTTTCCTCTAAAACATAACTACAGATAGTTTCCAATTTCACCATTTGAAATTCCACTACTTAGTTCATTGAATATAACTTACTTGTAATCACTATTTCAGTTTTTTCTTACTGTTACTTGTACTGTTCCTTGTTTTAACAATGTAATAGCTACTTAGTGGCAAAACTAATAACTAGCATTTATATTGTTCCTACTATGTTCCTGGAACTACATGAAGTGCTTTACAAATAGTGTCTTATTCAATTTTCTCAACAACTCTGGGATATAAGTGCTATTATTACCCCCATTTTACAGTTGAGGGAACTAAGGCAAACAGAGATTAAGTAACTTGCCCAGGATCACACAACTATGAGGCAGGATTTGAACTTGAGTCCAGACTAGAGACCAGTGCTCTATCACTGCATTACCTAGTTCCCAAAACCATTTGATTTTGAATGGCCTTTATGCTCCAGGAAAACTCAAGAGAAAAAGCTCCCAAAGGGTATGTGCATTTATATATTCCTCTCTGTGTGTATGCATATTTGTGTATATGTATGAAAAGCTGTTTTTAAGGAGACTTTGGGACATATACAACACATTCAACATGACGCTCTTTAATTAAATGTCTATTAGATTGTGGTTCAGTGTTTCAATTCCATTTAATAAAAGTATTGTACTATATAACTGCTATAAAAATCTTCCCCAAAAAAGTCTATGTAGAATGAAATTAAGTAGATATATATAAATTCCAAGGATAATGGCAACCGATCTTGCAGATTATTACTTTCCTTAGGGTACATGTCAATAACCAAACGTGATTGGTCCTCAAAATGGGTTAATGGTATCAAAAGACCAATGTTCAATTTTATAAAAGCCAGTTCCTTATGCAATTAAGAGTGTGAATATGAGCTCTGCAATACCTACACTAACCTGTTAGACATATTGGGAACCTCCCTTCTTTACAGGAGAGCAGGACACTGGAGTAACCCAACAACTGGCCAGTTAGAAGGACTTCTGAAGCCCAAGGCTGCTTGACATACCAGTAATCCTTTGCTAGTGAGCTCTAGTAGAATTTGGAGATGACTATAGCTGCCAGAAACCAGAGAAATCAGCCTTGACCAGCTCAAAGGCAACCTTGAGCATCAACTACAGACTCAAGACCATGCTTGGGAGTTTCTAAATATCCTGCTCCCTGGCTTACTGTGTCTATAGCTGTCTTCTTCCTTAAGCCCCACTCCCCAACTGAAAGCCTCTAGAAACTATTACTATCTCACCCTATTTCACATGCCCTTTGAGCAACTGAATATTCTCTCTCTCTCTCTCTCTCTCTCTCTCTCTCTCTCTCTCTCTCTCTCTCTCTCTCTCTCTCTCTCTCTCTCTCTCTCTCTCTCTCTCTCTCCTCTGTCTCTGTTTCCTTGCAAGCTCTTCACTCCCTAGCAAGCTCTTCTCAGACAATAAACACTTTTGTAATCTATGATCAGACCCTGTTTCATTTAGTGGTATTCCATTAACAAGAGTTACTATTCCTTTGTTTCATTTCTAGGTGTCTTATGTATTTGAGTTGGGAATGGGAGGATGGAAGAAAGGTTAAATCATATACATTCATGATGTAAATTCAAATTACAGAGTTCCAAACCAAACATTAACAAAGGATACCTTTATAAATATTTACCATAGTAAAATACAGACTAAAACAGACTTGCATGGCAGTATAATCTATCTGCTAGATAGCTAGCATCAGACGATTAAAATATAAAGAGGTAGAATGTAGTGAAAAATTTCATCCATCAAGGCCAGAGGTCATTCAGATTCAAGTTGTTAATAGGAAAAGGAAGTAAGAAGACATGTTCAAATCATATGAATTCTGCTTGGTCAATGTGGTGTCTTAGCTCCCATGACTACTTTGGTAAAGATTTTGTGAAATCAATAAAAAGAACACGAAGAACATAAAAGTGGCTAGGAAGTAATATAAAGAACAAGATTTAAAGTAAATTATCTCTAGCCATTTGACTAGTAAACCAAGAAAAAAGGATCACTATCAGCAATGTGTTCACTAAACCTGAGAAAATAAGTGTGAACCATATCCTCTAACTATTCCTTATATGTCGGTCAAATTCAGGATATTTAACAATAGATTACTATTAAACAGATGCTTTTATTCTTAAATAGTCCATATATGACTAGGGGTAGGTGGAATGTTATTTAAAAAGAATTTCAATGAGAAAGAACTTTTTTCCTATAAAATAGCACAACGTGTTACTCCAAAACCAAAGTCCATTAGTTCACACCAATGAAAGATGGAGGTACCAATTTGCTTGAATGACATAACTTATATGCTATTACTTGTATGAACAATCACCAATATTTAAGTTTACTAGCATGTAAATTTTTTTAAACTAAAATGATCCGCTTACTTCAGGAAGCAGTTTCAGAAAGCATCACACTAAATTAAATTTTGAAATAATTTTAAATTTATTCATGCTAAGAGGGTCTACTTATCTTTGGAAATTTTAAAGTGCTATCTGAAGAAAATGAGTATTTTTTACATAAATTACACAAACAAAATTGAAGATTATATTTAGTGAATGTGAAAATATATTTATCTCTCATTCTAATCTATCCCTGGTTTATGGACCCAAAGCCTACAAGGAATGTCACAAGTCTCTATGATGCCTCCTTTGGACTATATTTTGCACTGGAATTTGAATGAAGAGAATAATTTCAAGAAATGAGACTAAGGAGAAGAATGTGTTTCAGGCATGGGAGCCAGTTATGTCTTTTGTGTACTTAATGTTAAAATTCATTTCTCAATTTTGGTATAACTAAATACCATACAGTAACGTATGGCAAGTATATACTAACTTACTGGAGCATATATATACCCAGATATATTCACTTTATTTAGAGGATGCAACATGACAGATACTATTACTATTGTAAAAATTTTTTAAACTTTTTTAAAGCCCAGCATGTTTTATATTATGTAATAGGCCATTAAATGCTACATTTATCTATATAAAAATCTATCGCTTCCTTGCATAGTTTAAAAATAAGTATACGAGAGTTATCTGGAGTGTATCATCACTGTGTCAAAGCACTTAGATCATTAACTAAACAAATAACTTCAGTCCTACAACTGAAAAACCCCAGACATTGCAGCAAAGGAAAAGACTTTTAGAAAGGTAAGAAGCATTTATTAAATATGCCCATGCAATAGTCCACTTTATTAACAAAATGACATTTTACTACTTGTAGCCCAAAGTTCTAATATTGACATACCTCCCTTCTTCACATATTACTTTGTTTTTTCCTATAATCTTTACTAATAGTTATGTCTCATATTATTAAAATTATAAATTCAACAGTTTAGAAGCTAAGTTACTATAAGCTCGTAAAAGTGGCTTAAATGAGAGGCAGTGGTAACTTTCTTCTTATCAAGTGAAATAAGGCCTGTATTTGTCTCAATTTCTTCATCTGTAAAATGGAGATAATAATAGCACCTACTTCCCAGGGTTCTATGTTGTGAGGATCAAAAGAGAGAGTCGCTGTAAAGTGCTTAGCATAGTGTGTACCACATGGTAAGTGCTATCCAAATCTTAGCTATTATTATTATTATAATTATTACTATCAAGTTCATTCATTGCCACTATATCTCAAAGTATTTAACGCTGGGAGCTGCGGTGAGCTGAGTGTGTGTAGGTGGGTGAAGGAAGGAGTAATATTTTTTACAAGAATTACAGATTTACAACTTGTCCAAAGAAAGTATTTTAGGAAAAGGGGTAACCATTTCTAAAAGTCTCTGGAATCCAAAAACCACTTGTCTTGAACTTCTACCTGCAGGATAAGCAAGCTACTTTTAAGACTATTCCTCAGTATGAGTAAGTTCTCTTGATCAAACTAATTTGAAAATTTAGCAGTAGGAAGAAATATGTAGCATTAGAAATTTTTAAAACTATAATCTTACCTATACTGTGATAATGCCATCGAAAGAAAATCCTTTCAGGTAGTAGCTGCAAGATCTTCTGCATAAACCAAAAATATTAGTTATTTTATAAGATATCATAAGAAACTAGGTAACAAAAGCAATTATACAAACCAACTATAGGTTAACTATAAAGTTGCAAAATGATATGAATGAAAATATTATTTCCAATCAAGGAAGTTTTTTCTCCTATTTAAAAGTAAATTTGATCCCTCATCAAAGATCATAGATCATCCTCACCTCAGATGCACACTTGAATGGTCATATCCTTGATCTTACCATCATTACTCTGAAGTGTTGCACTTCTCTTTCATGAATTCTGAAATTCCCTTATCTGATCAGAATGGGTTGTCATTCTATTCTCCCCCTGCCTTGCAACCCAAACCTTGTTCTTCATCCTCACTGTGATTTCCCCAACCACTCCCTTTCTGTCTCCTTAGCTGAATCTTCCTCCAAGATCACAACATCCTCTAAGCAAAGAAATCCCTTGGTGATCTCCTCAGTTCTCATGAATTTAATTACTGTCATTCTACGCTGATGACTCTCAAATCTACTTATCCTGCTCCTAATCTATCTGCTGACCTCCAGTCTTGCATCTTCAACTGCCTTTCATCTATCTTGAACTAGTCTAATCCAGCAGACATCTTAAACTCAATACATCCAAAACAGAACTCATTTCTCCCCCTCAACCCTCCTCATATCTTCCCTATTTCTGTAGAGGGCAACACCATCCTCCTAATTCCTCAGACTTGTAACCTGGGAGTCATTATCTCTCATTCCCCTAGCCAATCTGTTGCCAAGGCCTGTTGATTTCACCTTTGCAGCAACTCTCAAATACATCCCCTTCTCTCTTTTGACACTGCCGCCATTCTAGTACAGGCACCTCATCACCTCAAGCCTGGACTACTGCAATAGCCTTCTGGTAGGTCTGCCTGCCTCAAGTCTCTCCCCACTCCAATCCATCCTCCATTCAGCAACTAAAGCGACTTTTCTAAAGCCCAGATCTGAACATGTCACCTTCCCCTCCACACACACATACCCTACTCAATAAACTCCAATGGTGTTCTATTGCCTCCAGGATCAAATATAAAATGCTCTGCTTAGCATTCAAAGCCATCTACAATCACTGTCTCTACTTCATTTCTCCTAACTGTCTTCTGTATTCTGATTTCATGTAATTCAACTGAAACTGCTTTCTTGAAAGTTGCCAATGATCTTTTAACTGCGAAATCTAATGGTCTTTTCTCAATCCTCATCCTTCCTGAACACTCTTTAGCCTAGACTCTATTGATCACCTTGATATCCTCTTCCCTCTGCCTTCTCCTCCCACCTGACTGCTCTAAACCTATGCTTAATATTCATCCAAATCATACTTTGTTTATATTGGGAGGAAACACAGTAAGTTGAATAGATGCTATTCTTGCAGTCAGAAAGAGGAGAGTTCAAGTACTAGCTCTGACACATGTTGGCTATGGAGCCTAGTAGTATCCTGGATATTCTTCAAGACAATATTTTATCAATTAGTTGCCTGTCTAGATCAGTGGAGTGAATGTTTCAAGCAATGAATTTCCTAAACAGGTAAATTCATAGATCTAACCTCACCCCCAAACAACTCTATATTAAACATTTTTCTCCTTGTTAGTGAGAATCAGATCTAAAATAGAATTGCCTCTTGTTAACTCTTCTACCTTACAAAGGATGAAATTATTAGTAAGGCGACTGTCTCCTAAAGCTCTTGGACCTTCTTTTCCTATCCTGCTCAGAGTAGGGAACCTACAGCCTTGAGGCCACATGTGGCCCTCTAGGTCCTCAAGTGCAGCCCTTTGACAGATACAAACTTCACAGAACAAATCCTTTTATTAAAGATTTATTACTGTCACTTGGCAATCTCATCTACTCTCAAGTATTCAATTATCATCTCTAAGCTCATGATTTTAAGATCCACTTATCCAGCTTTAACCTCTCTTTCTAATCTCTAGACCTCCTAACCTCTAGTTGCTTCCTGGATATCTCACACCAGATGTCCCATAGACATCTTAAATGCATGTTCAAGTTTCAATGCATTATCTTCCTCACCTAGCCCTCCTTCTTCCTGTCTTTCCCATTACTTTGGAGGACACTATTATACTCCCAATCACCCAAACCAGAAATCTAGGTATCATGTGGGACTCCTTACTGTCCTATACACACACACACACACACACACACACACACACACACTAATCAATCTGTTGCAAAATTGTATCAATTTTACCTTCATAATAATTCTCATATAAGTGTTCTTTTCTCCTCTGACACTGTCATCATTCTGGTGCAGGCCTTCATCACCTCCAGTATCAACAATTACAAAAGTTCTCTGGATGGTCTCCCTCACTCAAATCTCCACCCACTCCAGTCCAACCTCCATTCAGTTGTCAAATTGAATTTCCTAAAGGGCACCTAGTTATACTTGATTAATTTAAATTACATAGCTATAAAGTAGGGCTAAGGAAGAAAGAAGGTCCTAAGGTAGAAAGAAGGAGCAAATTGCTACACCATTGTCAGTAATATTGGAGAACGAATGGAGAATGGGTGAAGTACCACATAACTGGAGAGGGCAATTATCCCAATTTTCAAAATAAGGGAAAAGAACAGAGTCTGAAACCTATACGCTAGAAAGTATACCTTCAACTTCCCTGCCTCCCCTAATCTGCCCAAATCCCATTGGGGCAACCGGTTCACCAGAAGATGCCATTTTCCTTTACTTTATCTTCCTCTCCTAACCCAGAGTTTCCTAGATCTCATGGGGAAGATGGGTGGAAAGAGTAACATGGTTCTTCAAACCACTTGAATAGCTGGGAGTCAATTCTAATCTTTCCAGCAAGACAGAGGACCATCAAATCAAGACTTACCATCTACCCATTCTTTATTTTCCTAATGTTTTCAAAGCCTTACTAGCTGTCCTGGTTTTCCTCTGACCAGACCCATAGATATTTATCTGCCCTACTGATGCCCTAGGCCCTATCATTCTTCCTCTCATACATTCATCCCCTTATATACTCAGTGATCACCACCCTACTTTAAACTCTAATCATCTCCATCTAGACTACTGCAATAGCTTCCTAAGTGGCCTCCTCGTGCCTACTGTCTACTCTCTCCCTTTGCTAATCCATTTACATAGCTGCAAAGTTAATATTGGGGAAGGAAATGGCAAACCACTCCAGTATCTTTGCCAAGAAAACTCTAAATGGAATTACATAGAGTCAGACATGACTGAAACAAATGAACAACAACAAAAAATTAATATTCCTAAAATACAATACCAAATGTTTCCCTCCCCTGACCAAAAATCTTCAGTGGCTCCCCATTTGGCTAACCAAATTAAATACAAAAACTTTAGCTTGGTATTTAAAGCCTTCAATAATCTGATCTCTACCTACCTTTTTGGATATATTTCATATTACGCCCCTTCATGCACTCTAAACTGACCTAAGAGCTCTTCCCCATACAACATTTCATTTCCTACCTTCATGTCTTTGCACAGGCTGCCCCCACACTTCCTTCTGGCCCAAGTGTTAGAATCTACAGCTTCTTTGTTTTTTTTTTCTTTTTAATTTATGGAATAAAACAAGCATTTCCATAGCATAGTACAATAAAAAAAAAAGATGATTGTAAGTGAAACTGCAAATCTACTATGCACAACTAGCTATTCCTTTCAAATATACAACAAAATTATCATGTAAATTTCTTCCCCACCTGCACCCCCAAGCCACTATGGTACCCCGTCTTATGCAAAGTCTTCCCTACCCACCAGTTGTTAAAGTTGTTTTCCAAGTAGTAGGAGCTGTCCCCATGAGGACCCAACTGAAAATGGCCAGTTGGGCAATACAGCTTCCTGCCTTCTTTCCTTCTTTCTCTCCTTCCTCCTTTCCTTCCCTTCTTCCCTCCTTCCCTTCCCTCTGTCCACATAGGGTATCATACCCTTACCTGCGAGTGTTCTGCCCAAAGGAATGTAGATTTTGAACACTGAAACCATGAAAGATATCTTGGGGCTTTTCTTAAGGACCAAGCCTTAAACCCAAATCACTCAGGCTCCCACAGACTGGACAACAATGGGTCCCAGCCCAAGCCCCACATGGTCACTGTTTGGGACCTGATTGCTCAGAGTGAATAAAAAAACTGTTTCTGTTTTTGGTCAGAAACCCTAAGGGTCTTTCCCCTCCCAGATTGATTCTTTTTTTTTTTTTTGGCTAGTAAAAGAGTCTCATTTCTTACCTAGCTAGCCTTAATCACTGAATGGGCACTGCCTCAGGCAAACTGAGACCTGTTAAAGACCTTAGCTTAAAAAAGCCAAGGTCTCCCACTGCATCCAAGGCTATCTCCAGTCATCCTGATCTATATCTTGCTACTGGACCCAGATGGCTCCAGAGGAGAAAGTGAGGGTGGTGACTTTGCACAGTCCTGACTCACTTAAATCCAATTCACTTGCATATCATGGCATCATCTTCCTGATGTCATAGTCTTCTTCTAGAATGAAGGATAAACAACAACAACAATGTTCTCTTCCACTTCAAATTACCACTTACTTATCTGTGTACTGGTTGATTTCTGTTTCTGCCCCCAAGTTATCTACTCAAGGGCAGGAACTGTTTTTCATTTTTTTTGTTTTTGTATTTGTAAACCTATTGTCAGACATCAGCCTAGAAGGCAGGGAAGAGTGACAATATCTCCACTCTGGGAGCTTTTAAACTAGTAATGATAAGATACCAAAAAAGTTAAAGTACACACTTATATAAATTAGAATAATTTATAACAAAATGCTACATAAGATCCTAGAAGGAAGATCATTACCCAACAGAAGACATCCACCACATCTGAGTTGGCCCTTACAAGGTAGAAAGAAGAGACATTCAATGTACAGGGAAGAGCATGGAACTACACAGGTTGAAGAGCAAAGAGATGGTTCAGGAGACACAGTCAAGCTTTAATGAAACACAAGCCATGTGGAGACAGGTAATATTAGATAATTAAAGAAAGGAAGGATAGTTCTCAATCAGAAAA